TACCATACACCATTGATAGTAAAAATCGGAATCAATACTTTGAGTAATGCATCAAAAAATTTTAGAATGGTATTCGAAGGACGATGGAAATATGGAAAATTATTATGTACTACTATTACAGACCGTTTACCTCCCGCCGTCTGTAATAGGTAGGTATAGAATCTTAGCTTGATATCCGTGGAAAAATAGATTGATTGCCAAAGTGACGAACGCATAACCCGAAGTGTGTGGCTGCGTTCCCGCCAAGTACCGCCCTTCTCCGTCTGTCCGTCGGGGCTGGCTGCAACGACGCCGGCCTGCCGTGCCACCGCGCTGACAGAGGCCCACAGACGGCGGGTGGTGACGCAACTGCGTCGCAGATTGGAGAATGGGGGCGGTTTGTGTTTCTCGTAAAATTTCACTTTCGACGCTCCTATTCGTCGCATTTGCATGATTGTCAGCGTTGGATTCAGGAAGCATGTCCCCATCGCGCTTATAAGGCACATTTTTAAACTGTTCTGCGGAAGTTTCGAGACTAATTTGCCAAGATTCGCTGTTGTTCTAGAAAGAGATTTTTGGAAAAAGTCATCGTAGTGTAAATTCTATTTTAAAAAGGCGATGGCCAAATTGCCGATTTACAGATCGAAAATCGAACATTGTCTCAGACTTATCAGTTAAAGTAAATTCCCCTGTGATAGTGCTGCAATCTATTGAATTTTCCTACAAGTATTTTTCGGTGCATTTAGCCTTAAGGATTTATGTGAACATAAATAGCGGCCCTGCCAAATATATATCGTACATTTTACGTTGCATAATGCGGAATTTTGTCTAATGCGAAGAAAAATACTGGTCCCTTGAGATTCCACATTGGGTAAGTTTTACAAGTATATAATAAAAGAGTATACATGATTGCGTTACTTTGGGCGAAAAATATGTAGTTGTTATTAGCAATTTTATTTTAATGAGAGGAGGCGTGTGCAAAATTTGTTAGCTGAAGGGAGTCTCGGCAAAACAATTTGGAAACCACTTATCTAAAAGGTTATTGGCCTCTTTCCGTCAACCACTTTTTCAAGCACCCGAAAACGCTCAATTATAGTAATTAACGAAACGAGTGTATAAAGAGGGGTATAATTGCATGAGTGGTATGTTCAAGAAAACTAGCCGCGATAGGAGCAAGTTCTCTTATTTACCACGAGTGCAATTATTTCCCTTTATCCATGTGTTACGTTCAATACTTTTTCGTTTTCATTAAAATATAATTTTAATTTTGAGAAATTCAATGATATCTTTACCACTTGATGTATGCATCTGATGACGTCATATAGATTCTGAACAAGACCGATTTTAGTAAGCCTTGCCCTGTATGTTTATGATCACCTTAGCGTTTTGAAGAATAATGTATGAAATGAGAAACGATTGAAGATGGAAAAATATTTAACGAATTCCGATTGAATTATTATAAGAAGATGACAAAGCCATGAAAACAATATTTCGTACGAAATGTAAGGGCATGTACGAGAGAACACCACGTGTTAATGTTGGAAAGGAGAAAGATGATTCAGTTCTGTCGTGCTTGTTTTCAAATCGAGTAAATTTTTTAAATATATTTGTAATATGCTAAGAAAATATCTTTTACACAATCTTTTACACGTGACGCATGATTTACACGTAATTCATGTTAAATATCAAATAGAAGTAGTAAACATATCTGTGCAATAGTATAAAGGGTCTTCTGGGTTAGGATGATTGTTGCCAAGTATGAATAGGGTAATCATTTCTAATTTAACTTATTGTACTACAAATATTAACATGATTGTCTAAGAAATAGATATTATTGTTGGTTTATAATTTCGTTTCATTCGTTTATTGATTATATGCTTTTGATGTACATAATCTGTGATGTACATTTTTGTTCATGTTTCATGGCCGTCTGGAATACCTTGGGTAGGCCTGTTTATAGATAAATAAAAGATTTCGTTCATTTCCCTTGGAGTGGACTTGGAGGATGAGGAATTACGTGTAACACCACGTTGAATTTATCTTAATGCCAAGAGAAGTGCTGTGATACGCGAGTCATCAATCACAGCACTACCAGTGACAATCTCACGAATTAACACAATAAAGGAATCGAATGGATAATTAAAATTCCATGAATCGCGAAAAAGAAATATTATTTAAAATTGCCACCAAAATATGTGAAATATTCATTGAGCTCCTGTGATTTAAAAAGAAATTACTCAAATGTGTATGACTTTTTATGCATGACACACGTCGTTAATATTTACATTATGGGCAATTTTGTACACTTTTACATTGGTGAGTACAAGTACTTCAGATTGTTTCTGATGAAGTTTCTCTAAAACTCAAAATTTATTGTGAAATTAATCTCAAAATTGCGCATTTTAAGAAATACTCTAAAGACATTTTCTCAAAAGTAGTTCCTATTTTTTCTTTAATCTTTTTATACGAATAGTGCTAAATAGACTGAATTACATATCACATACGCTATTTTGATGTATTCTTTTGGTTTTTCAAAATCTGCAAAGGTATTTTTTAAAATATCTCTTGCGTCTTTAATATTTACATTAAGGGCTTTTACTGTAAATTACGGCATTCGTAAACACAAATGCTTCAAATTACGTCAAATGAAGTTTCTCGAAAGACTAAACTTTTGTGTGAAAATGAGCTCAAAATTGTACATAAATGCTCAAACGACATTTTCTCTAGAATGGCTCCAGATTTTTCAACACAAATTTGTATATAAGTCTTTTTTTCTCTTCTGTAATACTCTTAAAGACATATTTCTTTTCTACTACCAGAGGACCGAAAAATTAAGAAAATGTGGAAAAAATTATTCTTATTCTGGACATCTTTCAGCGTCTCACTTTGTGTAAAGATCATGTTCGCCTGACCCCTTGCGGGGTCTCTTCGAACGGTGGGCGTTTTTGGCGGGTTTTTGTTGTGGGGTTTTCGACCCCTCTCCCCCGTACAGGACGGGGACCGGGAGTCTGGGTTGTTTGTGGAGGGGTTAGTTTTATGTGGAGAGAAGGGTTATTTTGAGACATTTTGGACATCTTTGAGTACTATTTGGCTTTAACTACGCGCAATGATACTATGGAATGCTCTCGTTCCCGAGAGTTCTCATCTGTCGTTCTTCACTTTCGTTCCGATCTCGCGGCATAGGGAGTCAGATTGTGAAAGGAAGATGCGTTATTATAAGGGATAAGACGACATTCCTTTTATATTCGCGCTACTCGGTTTATTTGGTGAATAGTCACCCTCAGTTATCTATGGTTATCTACAAAGATTTGTCACCCGAGGGCACACCGTACCTGAAGGTGACGAATGAACAAAGGTTTATTTACCAGATGTTTCGAATGAGCCGTTAACAAAATATTCGTTCAAAGCTTCGAACAATAATGGAGAACAATTCCTGAAAATCCCCGATTTTGTAATACCTTCATCCTGACTCACCCCTGCACCAACCGTGTGAGGCGTGGCAGTTTGCCAGCAGTCCGCTTTGCGCCGTTTGCACCTTATTTGCGGTTTGTTCGACCCACGGCTGATTACAGTTGTTGAATCAGTTACCCAGATTTATTCACATTGTCTGTAAAATAACACGTCTGTGGTAAGAGTGGCATCGACCAGGAAAACTTAAGAAGTAGTGATATTCCTGTGAGCACTATTTTGACTGGTTGACAACGATAAATATTAAAGGTAGCATTTGTTTTTGTTTAAAAAAGTTTTCTTTGAGCAAATAAATTTTCAGTATTGCCGTTAATGGAATCGAATTTTATTTTACAAAGGACATTTATATTGGGTTTAGCATCGCGTCTCTCTGGACCTGTTCATGGAACAGCAGACAGTTTTAAAATTTTTATCACAATAATGGGCCTAAAATTAGGAACAAAGTTAGCACCATGAAAAGGTTTCTTTCTCTTGTTAATTTTTTTGTCATCATTATTGTTTCAGGAAAGTGAAAATTAATTAAGAAGTTTGCTCATTGGTTATACTTAAAAATAAACAGCACTCATGCTTTTAAGTTTCAATTTCTAAATAATGTAATAGTCTTGAAAGAAGCATCAAGGTGTTGTTTTGTTTTATTTTATTGTATGCAATTGTGTTTATTTCAATTTATGTGAATTGTCTTTCAGTGGCATTTTTGTTGCTTTCTGTTCTACCTGTTTAGTACATAATATGAATTCCAATGGTTTAAAAGAAAAGCTACTTATGATTGTATCTCTTATTTTGAATTGGCAGGAAATTGTATGCCTATCTCTTTTTCTCCAGAATTACCATTAAATATTATGCGAATACATGCCTGCTTGTATGCACAAATGTATCTTATTTACATTTTGTGTAATGTCATCTTATTTTGATGAATTTTAAATAATGTTAATGCCATGTTACATTCCTTAAATGCACAGCCATGCCATTGTTATTTGTAAATGTGTTTTCAACTCCAATACCTACTTCTTTATATGTTTTCAAAGTGAAATCAGAGTGCTTTGTCTAAATGATGATTATAATGAGATTTGCTTTAGTAAGCCTTTTCTAAAAATTCCACAGAGGGGAGGATTCCAACTTGCAGTAACTTCACTTGTCCCCTGACCAAACATTGAGTGTGTAAACTTATATTGAATATTGATTAAATTTATACTAAACATTGAGTGTGTAAATATTTCTTTTATGCTTAATTATTGATATGAAAAATTCCCAATTCATTCTTTTAATCCTTTAGCTTTTTTTAGTGTCCCCAGAAGTGTTGTAGAAAAGATAAAATATGAGAAGAAACTGTATATTGATTGTAACTTCTAAAATAAATCATTTATTAGTATAAAGTCGGTTATCTAATTAAAGAAGATGGATGGGAAAAAGGCTAATTGGTTGGCAGTACCTCATTAACTTAAATATTCAGAGAAGAAAGATTGGGAATTTGATTTTCGCTGTCGTTGATATTTAATGAAAAGGTCCATTGATGTTTTTATGTTAAACCCTGTAGGCTACTGTATATTAAAGAAACAAATTAAGTTGTTCATTTTGTACATCATTTTCAAAAATATTACCTTCGCTTTTCATATTACACAAAGTAAGATAATGGTTTTGTATGATTTATAAGCTGCCATCAACACAAAGCCTCTTAAAATATGCTACATCTGGTTAGGGAATTACTCAAGCGAGAGCTTATAGATTTACAACAGAAACGTAACATTATACTATAAAAGAATCAAAAGGCACATGTAATCTGCATCTCATTTTGTGTTGCAAGATATGTTACTAATGTCCTAAAAATACATTCTAGATCCTTAAAAGCGGAGTATGTATTTCCCCCAAAGGGGTCTGAATAATAATTCTTAGATTCTAATCTACCCATTGAGATCTTTTGGGATGACAATTAAATTTTGGGAGGTTTAACTCTTCTGAGAACCTGTTCTGTATCACAGGTGATTAAAAACATGATCAGAATCTCAAAAACTACATAAAATGAAATTTAATTTGTGATATTGTGCACACTGTAATTGCAGGGTTCTAAGTCTTTTTTGTTAATAAATGCTTAATAATATTATAGTATTTACCCATGCACAGAATCTACTTGCACTTTTGAAACACTGATTTGTAAAGGATGGAATTTTCTCATGGGTCCAACTAGTTTGATTTAAATATATTTTTAATTTCAGTGAAAGCTGCCCCTTATTTTGAAATACATGTACAATATTGTGACTAAAATCTCTGCATCAGGTGAAAAAAACTTGAGAACACTGGCACAAGTAAAATTAATTCATCATAATGTAATTGTTTGGTGTTCCGATATTGAACTGCAAGAGAAGTAAATACGAAAAAGTGAAATGTGATTAGTTTTTCATTATTCTTCAGGTCTCAGAATGGGGAATCGTGAAAGCAGAAATGGACGAGATGTGGCAGGGCTGCACCAAGGACTTGAGCTTCTAGGTCGTGGAGCTCTGCTTGTAGCTGAAAGTTCCCCTTTGTTGCTAGAACACTGGGAACAAGTTGAACAGCAACTGCAGAGAATGGAGGCAAAAGTAGCTTCCCTTCAGCATAGTGTGGACCGAGTAGAAGCTCATCTGGGAAGAGTGGAAAATGAACTGGCAAGATTGGGAAATAAAGACCAACACAGAGAGATGCGAATGGTTGCACTGGAGAAGAGCATTGAGAACGCACTTGTTCGCATGTTTCCGCGTGTGGATGCTCTTTTGATCCAGATAGAAAAAAACAAAGATATAAAACTCATGAGTAAAGATAAACTTGTGAAAAGTAGACAATCATCAGTGGATAATTCTCAAAGTTGTAGTTCAAATATATTTGTTCAACACCAAAGTTGCTCAGGTACAGATGAAGCAAGATTTGTTCAAAAGTCAGAATGTCCAATTAAATGTGTGTCCTCTTTCCCTCTCTCTCCATCTCAACCTGGTGTTTCTGCCCCATACAGCTCTTCCGTGTACGAAGAATGGGGAGAAGGTTGGGTGGGTGAGCTGGATAATGCTTTGTTAGAAGCAGCAAAGGAAGGCAGATCTGAGGATGTCCAGTGCCTGATAGCTTCTGGTGCTAATATTAACACTGAAAATGTTCAACAGCGAACCCCCTTGATGTTGGCTGCATATGAAGGTTATTCTGACACCTTACAAGTTCTTCTGAGAGCTGGGGCGGATGTTGAATGCCGGGACATGAACGAATACTTACCATTACATGCAGCTGCATGTAGAGGCCATGAGGGGGCAGTTCACGTACTTGTGGAAGCAGGTGTAGATATAAACGCTCGTGATGGAGTAACAGGATCCACAGCTTTGGTTCTGGCTGCCAGCAAAGGCCATGCAGAATGTGTGTGTAGGTTATTGCAAAATCATGCCGATATAGAATCAAGAGATGATGATGGAATGACAGCATTGCATAGAGCTGTTATGTATGCTAAAGCTACATCAGTTGCTCTGTTGCTTGATGCTGGTGCAGATGTAAATAGTGTAGATCAACGTGGTTGGTCACCAATAGATTATGCATTTCGTTCAGGCACAGAAGAAATACAACAAGTATTGTCAGGAAGGAGAAGATCTGATGTTGAGGTGAGACGTGTTAGAAGGCATTGATGAAATAGCTTGACATAGAATTAAATTTTGAATTTTAAAGAAATAGCAATTGTTGCCTGTAAATTCATATAAATTATCAATAGACTAAAAAAGACCCTGAAATTCTTTAAAATGAGCAATTGTTACAATGCATTAAAACTCAATAAATTTTGTCTTGGCTGTAGGGTATCATTTTAAATTTCAAAAACTATAATTTTTATTCTTATTATATGCAATGGTCAAAAAATATGCAAAATCTTTGTGGTTTTTAACTTCATTTACACTACACGAGTATGTATAGAAAAAATGCTCACTGGTGTGGAGCAAATGATGCACTTCGAATGCAGATATGTCAAGCACTCTGAATGCAGATATATAAGTTAAGTGAGAATTTTTTAAATAATTCAGCACAAGCAATTCCAACTAAGGTATCTGCAATCAAATTTAAATAAAATTTTGATCTTTTAATTGTGAAATATTAATTTATTATTTTTATTTACAAAAATGGTCAGCTAATAGGAAGCTACTTCAAACTAGGCAATTTTCACGTACAGATGCCACTGAAAGCAGTTCACAAAATTTCTGTAGCATCAATGAATCTTATGATCTGAAGCAACTGCTTTTTGCAAATTGATGTGGTGATTTTGATTCGATATTACAATAATAGCGTTTACTCTTTATAGACATTTCAGATTGAAAATATCATGCCTGTAGTTAACAAAATACCTATGGGCAGATATTTAACAATCTTTATTACTTTTTACATATTATATTTGAAATGAACATTGCCTGAAGTAAGGTCTACATCTACATATTTTTGCCTGCAAAAAGAACCTTGAGTAAATAAGCATTGTAAAACAATTTACAAATATGTTCTATGTAATTCAAACTATTACCCCTGTTATATCATTTTTTATGAGGTTGAAAACATGTCTCCATAGCCAAAATGCTCTATTTCCAAAATTAAACTTGCCTATATTAAGCCTAATATTTTTGGCTGTCAAGTTGATAAAAGGTAGGCTACTTGTGTCAAATAAACATTTGCAAAAATAAATAATATGAGGTAGTAATTGAAAAGTGAAGAGATAATTGGATCATTTTTTGTTCGTATGATTTGTATGGAGTAGTATTACAGCCAAAGAGCAGTATTTAAAGAGAAAGTTTTTAATAATTTCATTTGACATTCTTCATCAGAATTTGGAAGATTTGCAATTAAATTTTATGGATCCCCAACTCAAGACATATGAATGAATAGTACCAAAGATTCTCAAAGTCCCAGATGAAAATGAACCTTCAGAATTACAAATGTATGAGACAGAAGAAGAATTGATGAGTTATGTTTGACTGCTGCCAAGAAATTAAACAAACAGATTTTATAAAACTCAGAAGATTAAATATAGTATCAAAATGTTGAATGTAATTGAGAGTAATGCTTTCTTTACGCAGTGGAGTGAGAAATAAAATAAACGTGTTTCACTTTTCATGTTATGGAAGATTCCTTTTTACTAGACTTTTATCACGTTCATTTTCTTTTTCTCCTTTTGTCTTTTTTATCAGACAAATTTTTCCCTTTAAAATCTGATAGATTCCCTTTAAAACCTCCAGTTGACAAGGTGAAGGGGATTTTAATGTTTAAATCGTGTTTTAATAAGTTCATTTGTAAGTCAAATAAAATATCATTGGTAAATAATATAAATTGTTTTTTTGTTTGTGACATTTATTTGAGTTGTACAAGAAAAGTAGGAAAAAAAGTATTTTGCAGGATTGTACCTTGTATTTACAAGAAAATGAGCTTTATGTTATGACTTTATTTTAAAAACAATTTTTATAACATTCTTTATTATAATAAAAATACTTGCAATACTTGTTTGTAAGATTTTTGTGTATTCATTTGAACATCGATGTTAAATTTGTGATGTATGTAATGTTTGTACCTGATTTTTGGATATGTTCAATTTTTCTTAAAACAATTTTCCTAGAAATTTACCTGAGGTTACTAATGTTAAATTATGGCTACAATCTACTGTTATAATATGAGTATTTTTTGACAATTTTATTGGAAGCTCACTAAATTGCATAATTATCACACACTTACATCATAAATTGCTTGACATATTTATTACATTGTGTACGATGTGTACATTTTGAAGCTCATTTTCACTCGAAACTTGGTTTTAAGACAAACTTCACAACAAATTATTTAATGCAATTCCACTCACAAATGCAATAATTTATATAAATTGCTGGTAATTGAAATATTAAGGGCATGAAAGCTATTTAAAAAAATTACATTTCTGTAATTTTAGAAAAAAAATACATAAAAGTGACTTTTATATCATGTTATTCAATTCATTCACTACCCATTAAAAAAAATTATAAGAAAAAATGTAGAGCCTTTTTTGAAAAAATAATGTGTTTGAAAATGCGGAATTTCAATCTGATTTTAACAGAAAGCTTTTGAGTTTGCTATGAAAATGTACTCATAAATTCTATAGTGCAAGAACATGTACTCATAAATGCAATAACATGTATGAATCACCGATAATATAAATGTTAACGAGGTGAGAGAGAAGTTAAAAAAACATTTTAGTAATTTTTGAAAAAACAAAAGAATAGAGAAAAATGGCATTGATGTTATCTGTTACAATATATTTAGCACTAACCCGTACCAAAAGTTGAAACGAAAAATTCGTTTTTGATATTTTTTAATGTTGAAAAAATTTTACTCAATATTTTGTGAAAACTTAATATTTTTTTTAAAAAAAATGCATGACTGTGATGAAAGAACTAATTATACAGAATAAATTTCATTTGAAGGAAAAATCACTATCTTAATTTTTGTAGTTGTAGGAAGATGCTGGAAAAATTTCAAACTTTCCTTATTTTTGAATTAACATTGAAAATTGGATGTATCCCGTGTTTATAAGTGTATTTCTCAGTACTCTTCTCTTAAAATTAACGAGCCGTTTTTGAGAAAAATTTGAAAATGGCATAGGAACTTTAGGTAAAGTACCCCTACAAATAAAAAAAAAAAATGTTTTTCAAAATCACAGAGCTGTGAGTGGGGCCTCAATTCTGGAGTATTCTGTTTGAAAAAAATCCTACTGTATGCTTAATTTAGGTGCTGTTGTTGACGGATGGACAGACGTTTTGACGGGGGGGAGAGCAAACACGTTTTCGGTATCGGGGAACCCTAAAATGTGTCTTTCTATTGAAATCTCAAATGCATTTTCTGCAACATTACATAACTCTACACTCCGTTGACACATATGTATACGAGGAAGTAAAAATAGCTCAAATTTTTTGTTCAACTCTGCAAAAACTAACAAAAATGGGACAGGTACAATTTTTGTTTAAAACTTGTGAATTTTCAAATATTTCAAAATTAATATCTCATAAACAAGATTTTGAAAAGTAGTTTTTACATAATTTTGAGTAAAAGTGGGACAAATTAAAAAACAACGATGTATAACTGGCTGATACAGAATATATTACAGTGAGAGAGACTAGAAAAACAATATAGAGATTTAAAAATGGAAAAGCTGCCGTTCCAGGATTGGTAAATATTGAATTGCTGAAGCATGGCCCCAGTTATTATTGGATCTTCTTACTCAACTGTAAAATAGATGTCTAATGGGGGAAGAATTACCCAAGGACTTCAGGAAAGGCTATATCTAACATCTACAAAAAAAAGGTGATAGAAAACAATGTGCAAATTATAGAAGTATAACTGCCCTTAGCAGCATTGGCCAAGTGTGTGTGGGAAAATATATAAAAAAAAAACAACAACTGGAAAGAGACTCCATTGATGTCGAGGAACAGAGCGGCTTTTGAGCAGGGCGCTCGTGTATTGATAGCGTGTTCGGTATTAGACAGGTAACCAACAAACGTTTGCCCATAACTTTGAGTCGCACATTATGTTTATCGATCTGCGTGAGGCCTATGATATTGATCCATTATCTAGGCTATGGATGCCGATGGAGAAACAAAATATAAATACGCCATTGATTAGAGCCGTTAAAGATGTGTACAGTGATAATACGAGCCAAATAAAAGTAGGGAGAAACATTTCAGCACCATTTCCAGTAAATAAAGGTTTACGACAGGGGTGCTGTGTAGCCCCAACGTTGTGTAAAATATATTTGAATGAAGCCCTGAGAAGATAGAGAGATGTGAAGGCTGGGATGCTTATAATTACAATGTATAATTAAACTTTTTGGATCACATGATAAAAGTAATACAATATTGAGCATCCTGCTTTGTCCTTAATGAAATCTAATTCAATATTAGGTCTTTAATTAATGTCATGTACAAGTTTTTGAAAATGTATGTAGCTTTCATGTAATTTTAAGTAAAAATGGAACAATTTAGAAAATAACATGTAGAATATTTTCTCAAAACGACTCAAAATTTTCTCCTATTACATGACAAGTGCTATTTTGATTAAAACTTTTCAGTAATAAAAGTTGTTTTTATTGCAAGATCTTCAGAATGGTTCATTGACATTTTGTCATCTCCAACTTTTCACATAAACATTTCAGTATAAAAAGATGCTTTCGTCTTAACTTCTCAGTTTAATTTCAATTAATCTATTAGTAAAGCAAAAAAAATGAGAATGTGCAATTGGTTTTTTTTTTTATTAACAAATCCCAATTGCCTCATTACAAATATAACAAGAGAGAAAACTAAACTGTTGTTTTAACTGAGACAATGTGTAAATATGACATTCTTCAACATTTTCTGTAAGTTTGGGAAATTGTTCATTATAGTGTGCAATTTTGATGGATTTTAAGCAAAAGAAACTGATGCTAAGGCAACCAATTGTGTTGAATGACTTAAATAGATTCAGGGTTGAAAGGAAATTATTGGTCATGTGTACATTAAAAAAGAGCAATTTTATTAATTAATATTGGTAATTTTCATTAAATTATGATATTAAATATCCGTTGTAAATCGTACAATAAGACTTGCCTCTTGTGGGCAGGAGCAAGTAGGTAGGCAGCAAGGCAGTGGACACTTGGTTGTCTAGGAGATGCCACAGTTGCCATCATTTTCTTGGCTTCTGCAGATAGAGTCAATAAATACTTGCCTGTCCAGCAGGTGCCTCATCCAAGGTACAGTTGTGAACATTTCAGACATGAGACTAACCTTCCTCCTAGCATTTTGCCCTGAGGAAGGTCCCAGTGTGATGGCCTAAACATTGGCAACTGAACCTAAGATGTGGTGTCTCCTGGACAGCCAAGTATGTATTGACTAGACTAATGTTTTTGCCAAGGCAGTGGATTTGAATTCCATGTAAGGCTTCAATATTAACAATGAAGTTTGTGGCAAGGAGGGAAATCTCAGTTCCTCTTGTATCACCTTCCATTAAGTCCCTTAGTCTGATAAATGGCAGCCAGGAAGAGGGTGGAGCAAAACTGAAAAGGTTGCTCCTGCTCAAAATAGTAGGATAATAGTTGCAATATTACAATATTTTGTGACAGTTACCAATAATATAAGAAAGTATGTGTCATTGGCATCCTGACTTGAAGGACCCAGGTTCAAATTCCGATCTAGTGATTTCCATTGAGGGCGGCTCAGAGATCAACTCAGTCTCCTTTCCACAAACACAAACTTCACAACACAAACTTCACAACACAAACTTTTCCTTGTGTCAGTGGCAAAGAATAGGTACCTCCCCGTTGAGTAATGTCAGCAGGTGTGCAACTGTACAGGGGTACCTTTCCCTATATGTGGCATTGTTTGCTTGATACTTTATGTAAGTTTATAAGCAATAAAAATTATTATTATTAGGTCTAGTTGATATTGTGAAATAGGAGCTCTCATTTTTTTATATCGTATGAGATGAGTTATTCCTTAGACATACTTTAAAAGTCAAACAGTATTAGTACTGAATTAACTTGGAATCAATTGCAAAGATGTAATATAGATTACAGTATTATACAAGAGGGAGCCATTTCCCCCAGAGCCAACAGTCTTTGAAAGTTTACTCAGTTTATTTAAAATAATTACCACACATAGATCTCACTGCATCCACAGAAGTATTCCCATTATGAAAATACCCCCTTTAGCTTGAAATAACAAGCTATCAATAATAAAAAAAAAAAAGGTTTTCAGAATATTTATGGGGAGGGCATGGTGGAAATAACACCATGGGGAGGGGATATTTGAGCTGAAATTGGACCATGTGAAATACTTTCTGAATTTGCTTTTGCTTTAATCAAACTTCAGTTCGATTAAAGATTCATTTGGACCATTTTAATTTTTTTATGGTTGGAAACTAAAGTTATTTCCAAAAAAATCCTACATTTTAATGTTGGTCCCTCTGGTGTTGACGCACTTCTAAGCAAACAGTAAGTTTACAAATCTTTCTTCTAAGCAGTGTTAACCAAAAATTAATGTTTCCTTGTAGTGTTCCTGTAACACATTCTCAACTTAAAAATTGAAAATAACTTTATATTTCTTCAATATTTAATATACGTAGTGGTAATTAAATTTTGTTTTAATATTTTGTATGAAACCGACTTTTTACTACGTCCTTTCTGCGAAATATTTTTAAAAAGTAGAGGAGTGAAGAACCCATTTGAAGGAAATAGCGCAACATTGTGTTTATTTCTCTACCGCGAGTTAACGTGCGCATCGTTCTACAATTAAAATATATTGTGATACAAATTGCTTGATTCTTTAACCTTTTCAAATGCAAAGTAACAAATTACTTTTGCTTCGCCGAATAGTCGTTCGATTGATTCAACATTCCAGAAGTAGACTAGAAGTTCGAGATCTGGCCACATCGCACGACAGGTGAACAGCTGCTTACGCTGGATCAACTCTGAAGTGGCAGTGGGTTGAAGTTAATTATCATTCATTTGTTTCTTGAAAATATGATCTTCCCGTTTTATCATTGGTGGAGAGTTTCCCAATCGCCATTTATCGGTTGTCAATGTGACAAGTGGTTGTGAGACCTGATTGAATCAGATTTTAAATGTGTAATCTCTGAAAGAAGTTTCTCTCGTATTGTATCTAATGCCGTAAGCAACGTCATTGTTGTTGAACGATTCTTTTCCCGAGATTTTTGTGGCTTGTCTTGGGGTGACTGAAGGGAACTTAACACTAATTTGCCCGGCTAAGTGTAGGCCGAGCCATCAATCCAGGTTCATCTGATTTAAGACAGGTACGTGGACCAGAGCAAAGAATAAAAATCAACTTCACCCCTAGGAATGGATACTGACAAGAAATGTTAGTAATGTCAGTATGTGCGTCACTTTTCAATGAACGAAATACTACACCAGGTGTTTAGCCCATAAATAGGAACCGTTGTACTTCATTGAAAGAAAATTATTACGGCAGATATAATTTCCAATAGATTTTTTGTTGGTTTTGGTTCTTTGTCATTGTGCATATATCTAACATGGTTTGCTTATTTTGGGGAAGATGTCACTTCTCCATCAATAGATCTTTTATCAAAATTGGCGAAGTATAAAAAGGAAAACCTGAATGAATAAAATTTGTAATAATTGATTTCTGTTATCATGTTTTGAACTATGTCTTTTTTGGATGAAAATACATGAAAGTTGTGGACAGTCACACAATGAATGAAATGGAGTGTCTGTTTACAAAAATAATTCAAGTGGCAATTAGATGAATAGGTTGAAAAGTTTCCAGTGAATATTAGAAACAGAGATTTTTTTGCGTTTTGTTTTCCAGGCTAATTGCATAAAACCAATACTAGTAAGTTTAAGTAAATCCTTAATGAATGCCTTCCTGACTAAATATCCTTGCGAATATTTTGTAATTAATTTTTTTTGTATTTTTATATTCAAGCTGTGAGTTAGAAGTAAATAATAATATTTGTATTTCTCTTGATTATTAAGGGTTAGAGTACAATGTTACTTTTGCAGTAGCTCTTATTTTTAGATATACCCAACAAGTTGGTTAGTTGCTTAAAAACACTAAACCAAGAGAGTATGTGATTCTTATTTACTAAAACCAGTTATAGAAATGAATTACATGTTCAAGTTTTTAGAACCAAATGAAAGATACCTTCATTATCCTTTTTCTGTTATTGACCAAAATAATTTCCAGATTACATATTTTAAAAAAAATATATTAATATTCAAATTCACAAAACAACTAAAATATTTATTTCTATTATGATAATACATTTAATATGAGAAGAAATGTTTTATATGAGGAAATCTGTGAATTATATTGTTATTATTTTTCATTGATTCCATGGTTAATGAGATATTGCAATGGATTATTGAGTATTGAAGAAATTGGTATGAATGAGGCAAGTTTTGTGAGGACTTATAAAAAACACAAAAAAACATATATATAAAATAAAAAAATAAAAATGTAAATATATATATATTAAAATTATTTGTTACTTCATAATTAATTTAATTTTATCATTTACTATTATTAATGATATCAATATTATAAATGATATTCATATTGTTTATTATGTAGGTCAACTATGAGAGATTCTCTATTTTATTTGGCAAATACCTGTTGTACATAAACAATAAATAAATAAAACATTCATTTCCTTCTTTGGAGCTTTGTAAATTGTTGAATTACTTGACATAATTTCAGAAACCTAACTTGTAAACATTCAGAATGTTGAAATGAATTGACAGTTACAACAAAGTTATTATATTCAAAATCATTGTTGTTCTTAAACTACTCAGGCTTTTCACTTACAATTTTTTTTCTTATTTATTATATAAATGAGTCATTAGAAGTGCAATTACATTGTATATACATGTCATGTGTATTAGTAAATATCGGTGGGAATAATATCTTATGATTTTCTTCTGCAGAACTTTTTTGTCCTAGAAAAAATCTTTATGTGATGGAAGGTTTTGCATCTTGAAAAAATATTTTGTCCCTTGTTAATAATTTTGTGTGTTGCATGCAACAGATTGAGAATGGCCCATTTTTTCAACTAGTTCACTCAAATATCCATAAATAAAAAAGAGTTCAATGCAATTTAAAACATGTTTTGTGTAAAGTAGTGTACTTACAAAGTACAATGCCATTGCATAATATTTTTCACAGTATTGGTTGATATTGATTGATAATAGACCGGGGACCTTTCTTTTTTTAAAACAACTCTGTGTAGAATGCATAGACTTCTTGTGCTTTTATTTGTATCCATCAAAGGATTGTAGTCACAAATTTGATAAAATTATCTTAATTTTTTTGTTTTTGTTAATTTTTAATCAATATTTCCACATTTTGTGTTATGCAGTGGCGACCATGGGCAATGGTGGGAGTCGAGATGCAGTTGATGTTGCAACATTACGCCAAGGCTTGGAACTTATTGGGCGTTGGGCCCTTCTGCTGGCTAGAAAGTCACCACAAATGATAGATCGGTGGGAGGAGCTTGAGGAACGATTGCAGACAGCAGAGGCAGACATAGAAATACTGCAGGACAGCATGGGCAGGGTGACTGAGCGGTTGACAAGGTTGGAAGACAGAGAGAAAGCAAGGGAAGCAAGAGTTGCAACTCTGGAAACTTCCATTGAAAAGGCCCTTTCAACTATGTTTCCTCGTGTTGATGCTCTTCTGACTCATCTGGAACAGCAGAATAACTCAAACAACACCAAAACTGGTAGTGCTGAAAAAGAGAATAGGTTGGAATGTACAACAGACTCCGATGGCAACTCACATGTTGCAGTTCCTGAAATTTCAGAAAGTGGCTTACCAGTTGCAGATGTTCACCCAGGTGAAACCCCAGTAGTAAAGAGTTCACTTGTGTCTCTGTCTCGTGTATCTGGTGTTGCAACTGCTATGAGTTCAGCAAGTGATGTGTCAGCAACTCTGGGCAAGAGAAAACATCAGCCAAAAGTAATGACAGAACAGTTGAACAATTCATCAGGTCGAGTTCCAAGCATTACATCCCAGAGTTCTCCCTTACCAGCTAAGAGATTAGCTGCAGATACAAACTCATCAGATTCCGCTACTCCTTCAACATCATCCACACCTGATGCATCTCCCACCCCTTCCACTTCCTCCACTTCTTCCTCTGTGCACCAAGACGACTTGGAAGACGCCTTGCTTAGTGCTGTTGTTGCCGGCAGAGTTGGTGATTTGCGCTGCCTCTTAGCTGCAGGTGCTGATGTAAATGTTGTGAATATCTATGGTCAAACACCTGTGGCTTTGGCTGCATCTCGAGGAAATACAGACTGTCTGTCCACTCTCCTTTTTGCTGGTGGTGCCGTGAACAGTGAAAACCGGGACTCTAACGGTCACTTGCCCATTCACGCAGCTGCCATTGAAGGGCAAGTGGCTACTCTACCTCTGCTTCTCTCAGCTGGTGCTGACATAAACGCAAGAACTGCACCAGCCGCCCACACCCCACTCATGTTGGCGGCATCTCAAGGCCATCATGATTTTCTCTCTGTGCTTCTGCAGCATGGTGCAGATGTTAACGTGCAAGATAATTCTGGTGAAACAGTGCTACACAAGGCAGTTAGAAGTGATAATAAACAGTCTGTGTCTTTGCTTTTGGATGCAGGAATCAATGTGAACCTTGTTGATAAGTTGGGTCATTCTCCTTTGCACCATGCTCATCGATTGCAAAGAAAGAAGATAAAGAAGATGCTCATTTCAGCTGGCGCCAGGAAAATACCTTAATTGTAAATAAATGTGTGTGTATGTGTGTCTTTTTGACACTGGTTATTGGAAAATCTAGTTAGGTTGCAAGTCAGAGAGGACCAAGAAAAGCATTAATACTTATTTGTCTTCAGTACTTGCCCTCTCATTTTTCTTGTAGTTTGTTATAGTCTTTCAATGTTCATTTGCCGTGAAAGAATATTTTTTGTTTGCAATATAAGAAAAGAAAATAGAAGCAAATAAGACTTCGACCATTTATGTTGCAAACTATTGTTCCACTGTCGGGTAAAGCGTTCTTGTAAGTATTTCAGTGTCTTCCATCTTTTTGAATTATTATTTCATTACAGCCTTTGGACTGTGGATCACGTTTGCTCCTGAAGACTTGCAGACCACCAGAAATTTTTCAGTTTTGGAAATACAGTAGTCTCCCTCCCCATCACTGTAAATTAATGTGAATAAATTAAACCAAAAAAAAAAAAGAAAATGTAAACTACATCTTCAGTATCTGAATGCATTTCATGAAGACAACTGACAATTTTAGCATGCAAATATGTTAAAAGACAATGTACCCAATACAAATGGTTATTTTAATGCTGAGGTACATTATGTTCTGAAGAATGTATAGATCTAATTCATGTGTCCAGAGCTCACATATCAGTACATTTTCTCATTTGCTTAACAATTAAGTGAAAGGATACAAAATTTGTTAGATCATTCTAACAAATTTCTGAATATTTATTTGCCAGTAATTTTCCTTAATAACATATGGGGATAAATGATAGCATTTTCATGAATTTTGGGGGACTACTGTATCCTCTTAGTTTATTAAAATGATTTTGCTTCTTGTGACCAGGACTTGATGTTGAACTGCTTTCAAGAATTTAAGCGTATGTCCAGTATTTGTACTTACATTTCATTTTCTTTCTAAAACATTTCTTCTCCCGTTGCATCTGTGTGAATTCCTATTTATTTCTAAAACACGTTGGCTGCCACAATAATCATGAAAATGACTAACCTTTTGGCCGAGCCCTTTTTATCCGTATATAGGATAGAGATGTAATCTTTACCAGAAATCAAGCCATGAGAATCAACACTTGATTTACCTAGGTGCATGTCAAAATTATATTCTGTTATTACAGCCGTATATTTTAAGCTCCCTTAATGTAACACTGATTTGCGAAGCGAACATTGCTTTTTACGGCTATTGAAACTCATCATGACTGAGAATCAACTGTTGATGCTTAAAGCCATTCTCATCAATTCAATGAGCATCACCTTGTGCTTCTGATGACAGCCAACGTGTTAACCAGCAAGTTCTTATGATGGTGACATATTCTGTCAGTGGTTCTCAAACTTGTGTATTCAGGAATTGTATGGGAATATTTGAATAAACCAACAAAACCTTGCATGTGGTGTTTCTGAAATTTGCTGTCTTAGGAAATAAAAGCTTTCATCCAGAACAATAATGCTGTAATGTGTATAGGTGTATGTATTATTTACTGTTTTATTGTATGTATTATTGCAATTGTGGTAACATCTCTTTATATACATTGAATGCAGAAGTTAATGTGACTACTGATATGTTGGGACTACTTACAAGTTAAGGATTGAGCTAAAAATGAAAACAAAATAAAAAGCTGAGTGTTTTGTTCATTTAGTGTTCTTCAAATTTTAAAAATCTGTAAATTTGATTAATGTTGTAAAATGTGAAAATTGGTTCATTGTGCAAATTAAATTGTGTGGTTGCTAATTATTAATAACATATCTGACTACGAGAACCACTTAGAATTATGTTAATTTTGTCTTCTGAAATTTTGTACAAGGATTTTGTTCATGCTGTCTGCAATGCACAGTATTTGCCTTTGCTGCAGTTCTGTTCTTTTCATTGTTGAACCAAAGCAGCATGCCTTTTTTAGAGATGGCAGATAATATAATATAATATAATATATAGAGAGGAGTTACTCTAGAAGGGACCACTTTGACAGGTCAAGAAACAAATGAACGCCATGCAAGGGGGATGACATTGCAAAAGAAGTGATACAGCCATTTAAAAATGAGCTAACTGTAAATGAATGCACTGACAAAAGGAGTGCATAGACCTAACGTGCAATTAAATTGCTAGCAGTGGCCAAGCAGTCGCTGTCAAAGCAGCCCCTTCTTTCAATAATCACTCTATATGTGTAATTCCAAATTTCTCTGATTTAGTCCTGTCTTTCATTTGTCTTTTGATGAATCCATTATTAAAAAAAAGAATATTTTTATGAAGGGAGATTTTTCTATAAAAAGGAAAAAATAGACATATCTAAAATATGTTTTATTAATTGAAGAAAAGTAAATTTGATGTTTCAAAAACTGGAGAGGAATGTGGAAAAGGTTTGCCTTTTTATGTTTCCTTATTCTTAATTTCACAACTCTCTTTGAATCTCTCTTTACAAATTTTAAACAAACAAGAGGTTAAGAGAGCAGTCAGATTTTATACTGTAGGTTTTTAAAAGTGATCTTAAGCAGGGGAGGGCAGCTGGGGCAACTTGACCCAGGCCCTGATTTAATTTGGACCCAGATTCCCCCCCGCCCTCCCCCATTAAAAACAAATAAAAAGTAAATTTACTTCTAATTCGAAGTAACTGCTAAAAATTGTTTTTGTTGAATGGAGAAATGAGTTAGATTTGTGAATTAGGGAGGATTAAAATATTTGTTTGAAATAAGGGATCCCCAGGCATGGATGTACTGCCTCAGGCCTCATGATTTCTGTGGTTGCATGTGTCTTTAAGAGGTGTTCTAGCATCTGTGTTGTCAGTGTTTTGCTGTTTTGTATCCTTGCCTGTTTTCTATTCTTCCCTTTGAACTGTACTTGTATGAGGTTACTCAATACTTTCCATTCTCTGTTGTTTTTAAGTACTGTTGAGGATCATTGCCAAAGTTTGTCATTTGCTGGCTGAGTTTTCACACAATGTGAAAAATACAGTGAAACTTGCTAATTAAGCATTCTTGACTTTGATTTTGTGGCCACCCAGCCAATTTTTGGAACCAGTGGTGACTGCTTAAGTCAGGTTTCACTGTAGTAATGTGTTGTGAAATTGTAGTTTGAGAAGTGATTGAGGCGACATGAAAAAGAAATACTAGTTGATGAATGGAGAATAGAAGTGAAAAACAAAAACTGATTACTTTAGATTATAGATGTTTCAGAATAAGTTTTACATACATCATGGGCATGTAGGAGAGTTGAAAATAATTTTTTGGCAGAGAAAATGCAAAGATGCACATATGGCTTTCCCCCCTGATTGGTGTAGGTAGCTTGTTATGCACTTGTTTGGCAGGTAACGTTCTGAAGCGGCCAGAGAAATTTCATGTGCTTGTCGAACTCTTGTGCATGATGTGTTGCTAAAGTCAAGGCCAAATTGCACATGTGCAGCTTTGTTACAATGAAATTTCTCATCAATTTTTTTTTTTTTTTAATGACTTATTTAAGGTGTTTCTGGAACCATTGTTAGTAACATTGCGGAATAACGGTAATGATATATAGACACACAAACATCCTTGCCCCGGGCAGAATTTGAAATCACGGCTCTTCAGGCATGAGGCAGCTATGTCTCTTCAGCCTTAGTGGCCTCAGCTGTCCAGGCCAGCCTTTTCCCTGACACTGGCAAAAATCATTAATCTTTGAGCCCCCTAGATGTTCTAGAAAATTGTAACTTTTTTTTTTTTTTTTTTTTTTTTTTTTTTTTTTTTTTTTTTTTTTTTTTTTTTTTTTTTTTTTGAGACTTTCTTTATAAATTTGATTTGTTATGCTGTTACATAGTATTGCATATCCACCAACTGAGTTGATAATCTGCACAAGTTACTTCTATTTCTTTAATGTATTTTTTTCTGTTTTTCCTCTTCCAAAGAATAATTTTGTTCCAGATTTAATTTAAAATTACTCGTTATCTTTCTTTTGAAAAATGTTATTACTTGCATTCATGTGTATCATTTGTGATTTGATAGAGCAATTGATAAATAAATTAGAATTTTATTTCTGGAAAGGGGCTTGGACAATTGTAGGTTTGTTTTCAATGTTCTTTGAACATACATATACAGTGGAGCTGCTGTTTGAGTTGCCATCTCTCTCCTTTCCCATTAAATTATTTCTGTGAATTATTAGCTATAGAAACCTAAATTAATGAACAGGAAAGTAAATTTAATATTTCCTAGACCACATAATGACATAAGAGGAAAAGTCTATAAAACCTAAAAGAGTTGTAGAACTGGAGGTAATTTGATGGCCACTTGTGTTCTTGTCAGAAACTCGCCTATTTTGAAGCTTGGTATGCCACTGAATGAATCTCATTAACAGAAAATCAGTGTGTATCAATATGGAAATTTTCATTTTGTCTTGAGTGCATCTTCAATTATGGTTTTGAACTGAAATTTTTTTAATCAAAAATAATTTTTTATATTTCTCAAGATATTACCATAATGTTGATAATCTTAACTTTCTCTTTTTCTCTGCCCTGAAAAAATCTGTAAATCTTGTGTGTATTCCTTTTTAATATTTAATTTATAATCATTTAATTGTATCCTTTATTGTTGTCAATTGGGAATGAATTGTTATTGATGTACCTTTTGAATAAAATCGTGGATTTGTCTCTGAACACTTCAAGTATTATCTGTGAAGATGAATTGCCAAAGCATTATTTATTTGACTGAATGTTAATTTAAAAAAAAAAAATTAAAAAAAATAAAAAAATGAAGACTTAGTGTTTAAAAGCATGTAAAGCTTATAAAGCTAACTGCAAATGACGATATTGACCATTAAAATGTCTCTCCTTCCGTTACTTTCTGGAGTCGTAATATTATCCCAAAACTTCCTTATGATAAAAAATATACATATATCTATGTATGTGTTTTATGTATGGATGTATGTATACGTGTAACGTTATAATGTCAATTATTTAACATCAACTTATTAGCAGGTGGTCATGTCATAAATACATACTACTGATAACTTTGACCAGAGGCACATTAATGTTTGTGTGTTTGCTTATATTATTGTAATTATTGTTGAGGTATCAGATCATTGTTTTATTATTTTGTGTTGTATTAATGTTGTATATTCTCCTAACGTGAATCTTTCAATTGAACATGTGTTATTTTGTGTAGAATTCCTTGTTATTAATATGGTTATAGAATTTATACATCAAACAATATTGAAAGTTGTTTGAAAGAGGAAAAAAAAAAAAAAAAAGTTGTATGTTGTATAAATAAATTTGTATATGTTAATTTTGAATTTTATATTAATCTCTATCCCAATTTGGTCAACCATTTCTTCGATTGTTGAATAGTCATGCTTTTGTTGTATTTTTATTCAGTACAAGTGGTTGAAGTGACTCTTAATATAATTCATATTCATTTATTGATAAGGAAGATACTTTGCTAGTCTTTAATGAATAAAAAGTTTACAATTACAATTTATGGCTTAAGCCTGTGTAATATTAATTCACATTCTGATACACAGGCATTGGAGAAGGAATATATTGAAATTGTTACTGTCAGCAAGGTGAAGTGAATCATTTTCATTATTATTATTATTATTATTATTATTTAAGAATTTATCGAACCAGGTGCCCTTTATATTTATTCACAAATTGTGCCCACCTGCCTTTAATGAAACATTCACTTTCTCACCTACTACATATGTATGTAGTAAAAGATGTATTGTAAAACTGCAGTGCAAAGTTATGATTTTTTTCACAGAAAAAATTATTTTTGGGATTCCAGATAGTGGTCTTAAAAGAGGTAAATTACTTTATCTAATACATTGTGTGGTCAGAATCCAAGTTTTGGACTTAAAAATTGGTTTACAGTAGTATGTCTATATGTTCATTTGGAAAATTTTTACTATGGGATTGTAGTTAGTGCCACCTTCAGTAATTTCCTTATGAATGCTTTTTCCAATTCCTCACAAACCTAAGTGTAGAAAGTAGTGTAATGTGTAGGCTACAGGAAGAAAGAATTATGAAACAATTTGATAATTATTTAATTTTTTTAAAACAAAGACCTATTTTAAATCATGGTGACAAATTACCCCTTAAACTATTCATAGAATTTTCTTCAAAATTGATGTTTTGAGATCCATATAGCTGATCTCAAGGCTTTGCAAATTTGAAACTGATAGTGTTTTCTTTTTTGGGGGTACTTTACATGAAGTCTCAGGGTTTTCAAAATTTTCTAAAAATGACTCCAATTTTGTTCTTGAATAGAGCAAAGAATGCCTATAAAAGTTGAGCAGGTGCCATTTTCAATAAACTTCGTGAATTTTCGAAAAATTGCAAAGGTTGAATATTTTTTCAGTCTTCCTACTACTAGAATGTTTAAGAAATATTTTTTCTTCATCAAATCTGTTCTTCAAAATTCTTGTGTACAATGTTTTCAAAATATGAATAGTTTTTCTTGTAATTTTGCATGAAATGCAAATTTAATGACCAATTTTTTTTCAAAAAGGCTTCAATTTCTTTCTCAGAACCACATACTCTTGTGAAAATGGTTCAAATGCATTGTTTTTCACTGGCATCTTTAAATGTTTGAAAATTGTAGAAGTTAAAAATTTTGTAGTAATATCATAGATGATTATGTTAATATAATATTCATTCACGGCAATATCATAAATTAACACCGTGTTATTCACCATCATCCCCATCTCGATCAGGGTTTGACCAGTTTCCCTGATCCATTGAGCAAATGAGATGGCCCCTTGTTTTGCTTCTGGACGTGTAGCTTCACTATGCTCAAGTTTTGTTGAACTCTCCTTTTGATGTAATGGTAAGAGTAGAGGTAAGGGCGAATTACTATTTTGTTAGCAATGCAGAAAAATCATACTTGCAATTCGTTTACCGAGTTTTCTATAACTCGGAAACGAAAATGTCTATTTTTTCAAATATTGCATATCTCGCTTTTTAAATTTATTTTTATTTAGTGATCTTTAACTTTTACTCATCTTTCAACTATTTATAGTTAAAATGATGGCAAGGGATTCTAGAACTCAAGAAAAGCAGACGATCTTCTTCCCCATACGCCACATACATTTTAATGTTTTTTTGATTAAATAAATCTAAATCATCCTCGTTGGAATGACTATTATCCGCGCATGTCTTCTTGAGTCTTCGCTTCGCTAGATGCGAGAGGAGTGGGGAGTTTGGTTATTTTGACAAAAGGAATTTTTTGTCGAATTTGTAGTTTATTTTTCCATACAAAATACTTTTTTAATACACGGAAGCGAACATTCCTCGTCACCACATTTTGTCTACAACACTCATAGCTATTATTTCTTGATAATGCAACTAATGTTGGGAAAGGTGTGGGGGTAGATACTCCGGGGATCAAGAAAACGTGCTAATACATTTATCTGTGTTTATTCTTTGGGGCCACTATGTCGCAGTGTCTTCAATGGCGTCAATGCGCGTTCTGAGAGAAATGCGTTCAACCGGTCTAGCTACCGGTCCTGCCAGGTCTTGCATCTGAATCATGAATCAATAGAATTTTTGGACACCAGAAGTTGAAAGGTTTTGGAAAAAGATCCAATTTATCAGCAAGCAATTCAAATGTTCGTTATATAGCATTTTTTAAAGAAAATATTAAGTTCCAAAATAACCTGCAAATGAAAATTATTTGTGAAAGTTAGGTAAAATAATCTCCCTAAACAAGTCGTTTACGTTCATCGCATTATATCAACATAATATACGGACGTGGTACAGTAATTGTGAGGACATGTAAGTTTCCCAAGCAACTTCTGCAGGTGCATGTTGATCTTGTATCTTTCCAGTAAGAAATCTCAACTCCTTACATTTTGAGGTGAGTAGAAAGTAAATTAAATGGAACGTAGGACAAATGAACCATTCGTTGTTTTACGCTCAGAACTCATTAATTGTATAGAAATATAACTTGCTGTATTTTAGTATTTACATCATCTTACAGTGCTCGCCAATCCACGGTCCGCGTCTTGGATCCGACCCAACTGTCCCAACAACCAAATCCAAACTTTCACGTGTTTCGCATACATACATTACTTTTGCATAAACCGGAAATTACTGTGCTTACTTTTTTTAATAGTTTTAAGTTCCCTATTTTCCTTCTTAATGTGGTATGCTGTCAAGCAGGGTTGTAGGTCCACTGTTATATCACATTACCTTCAGTATTTATTTTGCCAACATTTTGGCATACAACTGTTAATTTCTGCCGTGCTTGAACTACTACTAGATGTTATTTCATGAACATTGTTGAACCATTAATAGAAGATAGGAAATTTCATTTTGATTCAATAACGTTAATTTTTGATGTTTTCATGTCGTTTTTGTAGTCAAAATTATATTTTATTGTTTCAGAGCAACTGAATTTTTTTCTGATAATTGGGTGTTGTTCCTTTGAAAATGGGCAGTGCTGGGAGACTAAATGAAGCTCTGGAGCAACAGGCTCAAGCAGAAGAAAGGGCAAGGAGAGCAGAGGCTGCAGTTGCTTCTCTCCAGGAGACACTTAGTGGTGTGTTGCAACGTCTTAGTCAACTGGAGGAAAAAGAAAAAGAGAAGGAAGTTCGAATAGCATCACTGGAATCTCTTCAGAGCAAACCTGGCTTGGGAAGTGGTTCTCAGAAACCTCTTGGAGGGGGGAAGATGAAAAGAGAGCCATGTACTAGGGCAAATAGAGATGGTCCTTATTCAGCACCAGCACCCAATTCTTCATCTAAAGATGCAGATTCTTCAGATAACCCCACTGCTTCAGCTTCCCCATCTGCAAAGCAAGATGATGATGATGATGATGATGTGGATACAGGGTTGCTTAAAGCAGCAAGGGAAGGGAAGTCAGAAGAAATGTTGCGGTTGATTGAGTCAGGTGCTAAGGTAGACGCACGAGATGGTCAGAAAGATACTCCTCTCATTATTGCTGCCAGAGAGGGTCAGGTAGAGTGTGTGTCACTTCTGATTGATGTTGGGGCAAACTTAAATAGTTTCAACATAGGAAGAATTGGAGCTTTGCATTTTGCAGCACGGAATGGTCATGATGAAGTATTGAATTTGCTTTTGACAAAAGGTGTAAATTTAGATATGAGAACAGCAAATGGAATGACTGCTCTTTCCTTTGCAGCCAATTATTGCAGTAGTATGTGTGTGTCATTACTGCTTCAATATGGTGCTCAGGTTGATGTGAGAGACAATATAGGAAGAACCCCTTTGGCATTAGCTTGCAGTACTGGTCATAGAGGATGTGTCCAGTTACTGTTGCAAAGTGGGGCAGATGTGGATAAAAGGGACTTCGAGGGTAGGACTGCATTACATCGAGCTGTGATTAGCAACAGTATGGATTGTGCAACTCTCTTGCTAGAAGCTGGTGCTGATGTTAATTGTGTTGACAAGTTTGACCGCACACCACTATGTTACACGTTCATGTCAGGAAATGCGGATTTGAAAGATCTCTTGCTGTCAGCTGGAGCTGGCCCCAACAATTTCTAATGTCATTTGTAATCTTTGGTGTTGTGAAGACTTCAGTTTCTAAAATGGAAGGCTGGGCAACTCAAAATCAATTGCAGGTAGTTGATTTAAATATTTTGTATTACTTCTGCTTTAGTGCAAAAAATTTTGGTAGTAATACAAGTAGTGTTTAAAATGTTGCAATGAAAATGTGACTTTGTGTGGTTTTGCTGTAATTTTTAAAGCAAGGCAACTAAATATAAGAACTACAAGTATTTTATGTTTGAACATGTACATACTACAAGGATTTACTGTTGTCTTGTCACATTAGGAAGATTTTTCAATTTGTATGAACTTTTTGTGTAAAAATAAGCTCAGAGGATTGTGAATAAGAGATGAAAACAATACCTTGTTTAAGTTAAATATGTATCTAATTAATTACCTACTATCTGTGTACATTTTGCAGGGACATTCTATTTAATAATCTGGGATGAGTTAATTTATTGACTAGGAGATAACACTTTTGTAAGAGCAGTACCAAGTGTCTGTTTTTTTGTGCTTAATATTTTTTCCTTTTCAATTTTTGCTATAACTCTTGGCAGAGCAAAAGTGATTGCATAGATGGCAATAGTCATCCTTTGCGTAAATTATTGTTTATTCTCGCAACATTTTTTCTCTTCTAATGTATAAGCATTTTTGTACTTTATAAAATATAATGTATTGAAAGTGTTTAATGTTTTATTCAGTTGTCACTAGATAATGTGCTTCTTGGTGATAATTGCTGTTAAATTTCCATCCTCATTTTTTGTCACCAAAGCTGTTGATTTAAACCTCTTATACATTATTTTGATAATTAGTAAAAACATAGTTATACTTTGTATATGTCTTCCTGCACTGGAATACTGATATTTAATATAATAATCACCTTTATGCTGTGAAAATGTGAGGGTTACTGATTATCATTTTCTTCATAAACCATCCATATCACTGCGATGAAAAATTATAATGCTGTTAATTTTATGTAGGGCTGTCAGGCGTATCATTCATAAATGAAGCTACATGAAATGCTATTTTGTAGGTTCTAGGAAGATTGATACATATATTTAAAGAAATAATGAAATGACACTTGTGTGAGTTAAAGAATAATTTTAATTTCATGAATTCAAAAATCAATTTCTTGTTTTGAAAATTGAAATGACATTTAGAAATATATGTTGAAAATTGAAGGGTGTTGCAGCAATGGGAATGTTATTCCAAATATTTGAACTATGATATACATAATAAAACATAAGTAACTCGTGTAAATAAATTAAAACCAAGGTATATAAAAGCCTACATTCAAACGTTACTTAAATAATTTTATTAGAGTCTGATCAGTTATGCTCACCTACTGCACTCATGGTTCTGGCTTTGATTTCCAGTATGCACTTGAGTTTTTGGTTTAGTTTTGCATTTGAGACAATTGCTGGTAATTGAATTCATGCAAAACACAAACCGATTAGGTTTTCTAAAATAAACTTTTTATACTCCAGTACTTTGTAACCAGCCCAATTGTATGTACAGTAAAACTACACTTATACGTTTTTCGGGGGGCTGCAGGGAAAAAATGTATAAGGGAGAAAGTGCATAACTGAAATTGATTATGTTCAAAACAATAACTTTATATTTTTACATTGGTGCGCTCTACTCTGGGACCAACATCAGTTTTAATTAATTAGCCCAAGAACAGTAAAAACTATGTGATATAGGTGGGTGAAGTAGCACTGCACACATTTCCTTGAGCTCCGGAACCTCTTCCCGACATTTAAACTATAAATAGAGTGATGAATAAAAGTTTCAAAAGAAGCAAAAGTAACAACTTTTGAAAACCAGACATTTTTGCTCTCGAGATATAGTAAACTTATTTGCATCAGTACAATAGTTGCAGGGATTTTTTTTTTCTTTTTTTTAATTTTATTTTTGTATTGCTGAGAAAATAGTACATCTCCCTGGCTCTATTCCTATCACTACTAGCAAAAGGTAACAGACTACATTCCTTCCAGCAATATTAATCGTGTTTACCTTCTTTCTCTTTGGTCCTCGTTCAGAAGCAAAACAAGGGGCTATCTCAGCGTTTGTTCAATGGATCGTGGAAACTGGACAAAACCTGATCGAGACAGGAAGCTGAAGCCAGTGTAGGCATTCGCAGACAGGGCTATCGCCTGGGGTCTCACAAGTCAAGGGGCCCATTGATGTGATTCATGAGAAAAAATAGTAAAAAATTGAAATAGAAATTAGAACTCAAAAAAATTGTTATGGTAATTTTTTAAAGCTATGTACTGTTTTGATGTTTCATAAACCTTTCAATTGATTTTTTACCTTCATTATGTCATATTTACTTTCAGGGGTACCAAGAATAAAGGAATATGGGAATCACTCGAAAGGAGGAGATTAATAATCATAGTCACATCTCTATGCTGTCTATAAAGCGTACACAGGCTTTTGAGTGTGGAAAGTAATTCAGCCGATTAGGGAAACCTACATATTTTGGCAGAGAGGATCATGTGCACAAAATTCAGGAAACTGATGTTGGGAAATATTAATTTGCAAATCGAACTATTAGAGACTGGGACGGTTTGCCTGTGACAATCTTCGATTCCTTTCCTCAAAGCCTGAGCAAACATAAAACTAAATTATTTTCCTGAATGTTGATATGTGTGTTATAAATGTATTTAATATTATTCAGTGTAAGTAACTATGTCTTCTATGTAATTATGTATGACTATTATTATCATCATTATCATCATTATTAAATTATGTGCAGTGCACTCGCGTGAAATTTTCGACAGAAAAACTGTTATTACATGGCTCTGGTAATGAAAAATTGGATAAATCCAGTTGCTAAATTTAGGGAGTGGGGGAGGAAATTCTCTATCTCATGGTGTAGCCAGAATCCATGTTTCGAATGGTTTCAGGGTTGCTTGATATCGGAAAGTCGATTGACAGCAAAGCATCCGTCCGTCCACCCTTTAATTGTGGGGGGGTACTTTTCATGAAATCCCTGGTACATTTTCAAAATTTTCAAAAAATGGTGCCATCGATTATGATTGAATTTTGTTGGTAGGTTATGTGAAGGACGTTTAAGAGAATGGCGTAGGTCTCGTGTTGATTGAAAACTGATTTTTCGAAAAATCCAAAATTTTGTTCAGCATCTTCCTAGAACTAAAATACTATTAAATAATAATAATAATAATAATAATTATAATATTTATTGAGTCACATATACAATTACAATCGTGTATGACGAGTCAATATGATGCCTTGGGTGGAGAGAGCGAAGTTACATTACTGTTCAGGAGCAAATAAGGGGCCATCTCAGCATTTGCTCAAAGGACCAGGGAAACTGAACAAAACCTGATCGAGATGAGGTCATTGGCCTAGAAATACAATACTTGTTACAGTTAGATTAAAATATTATACAGTAGATAAATTATCTGCTAATAATTAACATTTCAAGATGTTATTTCAATGCTACTACTTCTACTACTACTACTACTACTACTACATTTCAATTATGTTTGCAACTACATCAAATTTAACAATAGTAATACATTCTATATTTAAAACTTGAAATGGTGAGGAGGCAAGTTTTGACCAGTTTTTTTTTCTTCTTTCAATTTGTACACATAGTCCAGAGAGAAACAGATTTTTGTCAGTCATTCTCCTTCTATTTCACAGGATGCGATATGACAGTTCTTAGCTCAAAACAGTTTACACGAAACAGAAAGTCTAATGGGATAAGAAATTGTTATTTATTTATTTGAAAATTCCTTTACACTGTAGAACATGTTGTTAAGCAGGAAAGCTTTCAATCTTCTTTTAAATGTATGAATTGTGTTTACGTCTTTAATATCATTGCCTAGTTCGTAAAGTGTAATGCCATATATTAGGGCACTTTTTTGATAAAGTGTAGTTTCAGAGTGGGGAACATATAGGTTATCCTTTTGATGGATGTTGTAGTTGTGTACATCAGAATTTAAAGTAAAAGTGTCTTTGTTTTCCATGAGAATTTTCTTTGTGAAGACCACTATTTCAAATATGTACATGCATGGTAGAGGAAGAATCCTTAGTTTATTAAACAAGGGTTTGCAAGACTCCAGCTTATGAGTGCTGGTCATTGTTCGCAATATTCTTTTTTGGATAATAAATGTGCGAGTGCTTTCAGGAGCATTTCCCCAGAATATTATTACATATTTTAGGTGTGAGTGCACATTTGCAAAATACATTGTTCGAAGTGTCTCAATGTTGGAGCTTGACATGAGGGTGTATAGGGCATAGCAAGATTTGCAGAGCTTCTTGTTAAGATTTGAGATGTGAGTGTTCCATTTTAAGTTTTCTTGAATTGTTAGCCCGAGGAAGGTAGTTTCATGTGATATCGTTGCAGGGTTATTGTTTATGAGCAAATGCTGTGAGAGTTTTTCTTTAGATCGGGGATTCATGAAATATAGAGAGACTGTCATGCTGGTGTTTATGAGTAGTTTGTATAAGAGATTAAAGATAGAGACTTTTTCCCTTAATAAAATCTGTTCCTTAAAGATAGATTTTAAAATAAGATCATGTACAATTTTTCGTAAATTTGAGTATTTGTCGCGTAATTTTGTCGTGAAATAAAGGCAATTTTTGTTTGAACAATTTTTTCTTAAAATAAGCGCCCTCTTTTTTGATGAAATTTTGTTGGTGGATAGTCTAAAGGATGATAAAGAAAATGGTGCAGGTCTTATGTTGTTTAAAAATAGCTTCTTCCTATAACTACAATTTCTTAGATACATTTTTTTAATGAAATGTGTTCATCAAAAACAGATTATAAATAAGGTCGTGGAGTAATTGAGCGTCAAAATTAGCCTCTCGCACTACGAAAACCTGTGCTTCTTGATCTTAATTTTAGAGGTGTTTTGAGGCAATTGAATGCTACATAAGTTAAGAAATGTATATTTTCTTATTTAATATTTCTTTGTTAGTTTCTTACATTGGACCTTGTATTATATGTTTACAAATCAATCCTTTTAAAAACATTTAAAACATATTTGAAATATAAAATAGATTGCTAGCCTTCAGTCGCCCGCTCCCAATTTACCCAGTTGCATGCTACCTAATTTTGAACTTGTAAATTCGTATTTCATTTTATTATTATTTATATTTATGTTATTTCATTTTAAATTGCGCCCTTTAATCGTCCTAAATGTGAAAACGAATGTTTGAGCGGTCATTGGTGGTTGTCACCCATTGTTGTATCGCCGCATAGATAGCAGAACTCGATAATGACGGCTGGTCTTCGTTCGTTGTAATGCAAATGAATACTTGGATATATTTGTAGAATATTACAACACCATAGTGTTTAATAATTACTAATATATATATTTTTCGATCTAATCGAATTTGTCGACCCTATCAGTACCGTATTGTAACGCTTCTCGGTGGGAAATTAAAACCAACACACACAGGTATTTTAAACAAAAACGTTTATTCGTAACAATTGTAAACTAAAAACTACTTGATCTATTTTAAATATTTTACACAGCTTTTGTACTCTTAACTTAATTAGTTTCCTTGCACACAATTCCGTTCTCTTGCTTATTTATTTACACAGTTCACTTCTTATACGCTATTTATTTGCACTGTTCTCTGCAATCAACACTATCGCACTGTCCCATGCATTGTCTACAGTCCACTGGGCTGACCACACTTCACTACACTGACCAGAATTCACAGCGCTAACCACAATTCACTGCGCAGACTATACCACGATGCACCACTATACCGCGATGCACACTTCACAGCTCAGCTTCCACTTCAGACACAATGATGGATTGACTGCTTATTCGCCTATCACATATACTAACTGATTCGCGGCTGCTGACTTCCAACTCACTCTTGACTGCTTACACTGACATACTTATACTGACTTAACTAACTACTGACTCGCGGCCGCCGGCAGCGGCGCAATTATACCTGGCCGGCGCTCGTCTCGACACAACCAGCACTTTCTCCACATTTCCCCGTGACTCGCGAATAGTTCGGAACCGTCCAGTTCGGGGCGCCGGCAGATGACGCAATCCGCGCGCAGCGAATGCGGCAGGTGATGCAATATTCATTACAGTATTATTTATTAACTTTGAATTATATTACTTTCTCGCATTCTGCTTATTTTTCGCTCCAAATATTCTACAATTTCAAATGAGTTTTACAAAAATAATTCGGAGAGAAATTGTTCCATAAATAGTATTACATAAGCAGTACTAATGGGAGAAAGTACGTGCTGTTTTAGCCCCAGTAGTTAAAAAGTGTAGAAAGTGTACTTGATAATAGATACAATGGAGGATGCAGGGGGGGGGGATGGAGCTATGCCACCCCCCCTAAGGCCTTGAGTTTTCGTTTGTTACCTTCCTTTATTTGTCAAAATTGATTTAAATATTTATGTTACAATTGTGTAATTATTTAAAAAATAATATATCGTATCATATATACACTACAAAAATAAGTAGCAATACAATAACAAATGTTTATTATTTAGCAAAAACCTATGATGCCCCCCCCCAAATTATTGGCTGGATCCGCCTACATTAAATAAAGATTCATTAACAAAAATATATAACTACAATGGTGTAGTTAACGTAGGAGTCCCAAAGGTTTTAAACTTTTTCGAAAATTCAAAGGCAATGATCATTAAATCAAGCCATTTTTATAAGCAGGCTATAATTTTTTACTATCAGTGATCTCATACATTACTGTTGAGCTCACTGGTCATTCTATATATATATATATATATATATATATATATATATATATATATATATATATATATATATGAGAATTGTTAACGGTTGCCACCATTTCTCAACTCTCGCTTCTCAACTTCCATTTTCGGTCTACTCAGTCTCTTCGTAGACCACTTGCCACCATATCACTCTACATCATTATTCCAGCTCCTGGGAGGCCTGCCACGGTTCTTTGTTGTTGTAGGTGTCCACAACCACACTTTGGCCACGTAATGTGATACAAAATTCGAATAAATACATACTGAATAATAAAAATGTGTTTTAAAATTTCACGTTTCTAGCTTCAGTACTTTGGTCTCTACGTTGATACGTCTATACATAATAGAAAATGATTTAATTTATTAAATACTTTATTTTAAATTGTATCATGGATACAAAGTATATAATATATATTAAAATTGTTATATAATACATTCATCACAAAATTCCGCAAATTGGCATATCTACCATATTGATTTGTTTTACTCCCCCGCCAAATCAATATTAATATTTAGACATTCATCTATATCCACCAGTCTCTGCAAAAGAGAATGTCACAATAACACACTTTCATTATTGCTCAATAATGCAAAATAATCAACATCTTCTGTTTTAAGTCAGGTTATAAAATAGGAACTACTTCCAAAACCTTGATAAGATGCACAATTTGCTGCAATATACCAAAAGAGGTAATCTTATCGACCATGAATGCAAATAGGCCTATGTAAAAGCTGCATTTTTGAAAGGTTATTCAAACAATAGTTCTTGGATCTCTGCGTCCGATGCACGTTGCGTCGATAGTAAATGAAAAAATACTTGCCCAAAAAAAATGTTTATATGAAGCACACTAAATTACAGTTATACTATGAGCTACACCGGGATATATGTTTGTCTTTAACATTGCTCATTTTCAATGACCACATCCACTTCAGTGCCAATGCTTTTTCAGGGAAGGTCACTTCGATGCCTGCTTCAGTTACCTTCCATTTTAAAGTGGACGTTGTGCCCAACATCAAAATAATGGAATTATCCTTTAAAAAAGGAGATCCCAATGTCAAGAGCCCATTTCTAGGCCAATCAAACACAATCGCATAAACAAACTTATTTGATTTTTCATCTCTGGTTGTATACCAGACTCCTGTTGTATAACTATCATTCTGTGTTGTCCATGGTTTTGTGGAATAGATAGCTTCGCCATTTATAGCAAGCCAAGATCCAACATCATAAAGACGCTCTTCCATATTGACAGGTATCATACCATCTTTTGTAGGTCCAATATTAAGTAAAAGATTTCCACCACAGCTAACTGTTTCAACCAATTCTTGTAGTATCTCATGAGTATTTTTATAATCGCATAATTGTGCATTACGTCTATAACCCCATGAACGCTTATCAATGGGCAAACAATTTTCCCACTTATGCTGCTGCAAAACACGAGGATTGAAATGATCTTTGCAAGTATAAAAATCACCATGATGACACGGAACGTCAATTCCCCAGCGATCATTCACTACCACGAAGTCTTTTACTGGACTCTCGTTGTAGAGCCAGGCTAGAAATTCCTTTGAAGACCAGTAACAGTCTGTTGCTTCCCAGTCTCCGTCAACCCAAATAATGGCTGGATGATATTTCATCACTAAATCACGTAGCTCAGGTATAACTTTTTGTGTAACAAATAACTTAGTGGAACAATTGTTTTTCTTGTCATTTAGGAATAATGGATGAAACCATTCATATAATGAATAATACAGACCAAATTTTAGTTCAGTATTCGAACAAACTGCATCTGCAAGTTCTCCTAATAAATCTCTATGAGGACCAGTTGACATAGAATTCCATCCTAAGGAGTACTGTGAAGGCCAAAGAGTGAATCCTTCATGATGCTTGCTTGTTAATACAACATACTTGGCGCCAGACTTCACAAAAATGTTTGCCCAGGCGAGAGGATCGTAGAATTCTGCAGTAAATTGTTGCCCAAAATCTTTGTAAGTAAAATTTGGTGGGTAGTTATTCATAAATGAAACAACACTATTCTTCTTTGCTTTCCAAAGCTCCCCAAACCACTCAGATTCAAAACTTGGCACTGAATATACTCCCCAATGAATGAAAATTCCAAATTTTGCTTCATCATACCACAAAGGCAGCGGCCTAGAATCCAAACTCTCCCAAGTTGGTAAATACTGCGTTAGCACTCTCTGCAACAAAATTAACCACACAAAGTATCCCGAAAAACATGGTTGACTCATGTCTTGGATTGACTCATGAAGTTACACATCAAGTTAAATACGGCTGTACACAATGGACACATTCCTTGCAGGCACCTTACTAACGCACGGCGAGGTGAATGTTTGCAGAATGTTTGTAATAATGTCGCGGATTTTTGCTCTGAGACAATCGGGGTTCATATTGAAAGCATGTATGATGCTGATAATTATTTTGTTCAAAATCAAAGTCCAGTTTATCTTGTGTTCGTCAATAAAGTAAGCAAACAGCCGTTCTTCAGTTGTTTTGTAGAAGAATATACGACTTTGCCCGCGGCCGTATGGAGGACGCCACGTGGTCATTTCAATTTAAGATTGGATCATCGACAAAACGTTGGCACATTTGAAAATCGTATGCAATAAAGAATAGTTATCTCTGTATTCTGATCAAAATTATCTCGGACAATTGTCTTTCAAATGGTATACATTTGGGAATATTTTTTGCTCCCTCTTCTAGCTTTTCCCATTTCTTCCTCCATAATTTGGGGTTTCTGTCACTTTTATTACTCCAGTGGATTGACCCGAGTTTAGTGAGTGGTAATATATTCATTTTTAGTTATTAATAGAAGGATAAGTATTAGTAATTGAAGGAATAGGTTGTGGTCAGAAGCTCGCCTTACGCATCCAGGATTCGCTCGATTCCTGTTCGATCCAAGTGAAATTTATGGACACAAGTGAAATAAGCAGATTTCATATTTCCCCAAAGCAGTCCCTATTTTTTCCTCGACTTCATTGTCATTATTCACCTTATTATCATTATCATTATTCTCCACACAAACTCATTGCCAGAGGTAGTACGCGATGTCGACGAAGTTGTGATTTCCGACAATACGGCCACTGTGCCGTTTTTTCAAAAATGCATATCATATAGCAGATAAACAAATAAATAACCGATTAAATAAATGCTTGGCTATCCGGGACATGCCGCGTCGTTGGCTGAGACGCCGACGTTTCGCCTGACATGTTTCCTCAGGGTTGCAGGCTTCCTCAGGGCAGACGCTGTTCTGATAGCCAAGAATTTATGGATTCGAGTCGCGGAAGCTTACGTGTGCAAATATCAGATTGCTGGACTGCCTCGTCAAAATGTTTGCCATCGAGCATTAGCTCAAAGCGAACTTTAATAAATCTATCTTTCTCTAACTTTTCCTATTTCAGTTATGGACTTTCAGTTATTCGCCTCTCGGCTGACTCATGGACAGCGTGCTTGCTTTCTGTGAGGCTGTCCCGGGTTTGATTCCCGGCCGGGGCAAAAATAGATCTGTAACTTTCTAATAGAATAGTTTCAGTTTCTATAGCTTTGCGACGAAAGAAAAAGCTCAGGCAGACCAAATAGGCTAGGTATGGTGATCGTCGTAAGGCTCCCCTTCCCTTAGACGTGGATAATGAATAAGAGCAGGCCCTAGGCCTGGGAACACCGCTAGCTGGGAAAAGTCGGATTAATCCGACCCCTGAAACACTAAATAAACACATACTATTTATTATTTGTTTATTGTAAAATACTTTAAAAACAGTGTTACGTACAATGGAGGATTTTGTTGCGTACGTCAATTAACCCAGAACTCGCTTGCTGTCGTCTTTAGTGATGAGACTAAATTTGTGATATCTGACATTTCGAACTCTAGACACAGTGACGCGTGGACTAACAATAATCCTCACTGTGCGTTTCCCAGCGGTCGTCAGGTCCGTTTCTGCATTAATATTTAGGCAGTGGTCATCGGGACGGTCGACGGGTTGTACATTTCGCAGCCGTGCCTTAATCCAACTACCTCTAGTTGCACTATTTTCTTGGAAGTTGTGCCACTTGTGAGGCGTCGCATGTGGATACATCTCGTCGAGGCGCCGCCATAATTCACCGCCACTGTTTGGGAAATTTTGTTGAACACAAACGGCAGTGGAGTAATTGGAAGATGCGCTCTGCTTTACCTCCAAGGCCTCCAGATTGGGTACCCCTAGATTTTTGTGAGATCTAATTAAACTCCTAGTATCTGAACCGTCGGTGGTGATGGAAGAAGAAGTGGTGGCCAGAAGTTTTACTGCAGCCTGCATCCAGACTACTCCCAGCATTATCGAGAGTGTGCGTCAGATCGTGAATCGTCGTCACTGCGCAAGCATCGAGCAATATTTGAAGTCGAAACTTAAGAACAAAGACTAAAAATATAAGTGTCGAATACTCAGTGCCTCGGACCGGGTTCTAAGTTCAAGTTCCGACTAGCTAGAAAGCTAGTTCGAGTTCTGTAGCTGTGTAGAGACAAAATCTACCGGCCGGCTGCTCTGATCGGTAGCCGACGATAGTTCGGTTCTCACCATCAACGGGGGGAATATTGCCGCCGCCGCCTTATAAAAGCATGCACGACACTTACGGGACTAATGATCTTAGAAGTTGACGCGCACGCGCCTGGAATCACTAATCGATGAATCAATCGAATTCCCATTGTCTGTCTGTTCTCGTCTCCTGAAGGTTTGTCTACCAGCCAAACATCAATGGTGGATGAGTTGCCTTGCCCCAAATCTCAGTGTCAGGAATTTCGTATGTGTGTACTTGGGTTTTTATTTCTTGGCTCACGAGGTCTTGCCTTCACGATGGAATATTTCACGGTATTTCGCGACATTCTCGGTCGTGCCGCTAGATGTCTCATGATCTCCAGCACTGCTCGATACGGCCGCGATCATGCACAATCTAGCGATGAAAGACCCGAAATACCGTGAGATATTTTATTCTAACTTAACGTTAAGTTAGCGTACCCACCTTTAGTGTTGAATATTTTGATGTGCATCGGTAGAAAGTTTTTAAATTTATGTATAAATTAGTCCTTAATTAGAACACAATTCTGGGATACTGTTTGTGAAGACAAGGCCTCGCGCGCCAAGAAATACCCCCCCCCCTCAAGTATAACTTCGTTAAAAATAATTTCCCGCCACATGTTCGTAGGCAATAATTGATCCTCTTTCAACCCTACATGCTCGAGAAATCTGTAAAATTTATTTTGGTACATACTGTACCCCTCCCCCTCACACCTTTTTCACTTGTGTTTTGTAGTTAAACATGGTTCTAAAATAGATCATGTACAGAGTGAAAGGCAAGGGACACGGGAGAATCGCGAAGTCAATCACAAATTTCGCGTGGAGGAATCGAGAATAGTCACCTACTCCCCAAGAGTTGAAAAGTCGTTGATTTACTGTTTGAAGTATCTTACGGGCGGTGGCGGCTCGTACTTAGGTTGCACAAACCCCGATAATCGAAAAAGATCTTGTACAAGAATGCTAGTAGACATACGTAAATATACTAATGTATACAATATAACTACTTCATATACTTGTATGTTAGGAATATTCATGTTCCTTTTAATGACATTCAATATTCAAGATAATACAGAAATATCGATGAATATGAAATCATTTTGAAACCAAAGGGCTCTCAACTAGAGACGTCTGATGCTCTCCCAGGTATTGAACCATGTCGCGCTCCATTACTGCGATTACTGCATTTACTCTTTGGCGTTATGCTTCAACATAGGATCTTCCGTTGTGCAACCAGTGTGCGGTGTGCAGATAAATCTTGTCGCGAGCGCATCGCGGCGTCCGAGGGGAATACTAATTCCTATCGTCTGACTAGCTGCAATTTCACTTTATGAATTTCGTGTGTTGTTGAAAGTACACAAGTTGAGTCAATATTATTGAAGGTATTGAATGCAGTATTTATGCTGTTTGGATAATTTATCTTCGTTTGATGTTAGGTTTTTGATTCAAAATGTACATGTGATCACGAGTCCTTTGTGATCGCTGTGTCTGAGAGTTGCGTGTGTTGGCCGCTCTGCAGGACGTCGCTTTCTGTCTTTCTCGGTGGGTGCGTATTTTCGGCTGCAGTTGTAGCTGAGTTACAGTCTGCGTACGATGTTGAGAATACAAGCGTATAGCTCGACCAAGCGGAGTGTAGGATTGGCGATAAAGGCGGCACTGTTCTTTCTTTTGCTTCGGAGAGAGACAAAGCTATTGGTATACTCAGTGCAACTGAAAACTGAAGCACTGATCTAGACCAAGGCCAAGTATATATGGCTCTATTGTGATGCCATCTCATGTTCAACAATATCTGTCACAGCCCGTTTAAAATCACGGGGAAATGCCGACGTGTTCGATAGTTATATTAATAAATACAGATAACGATATGAAGAATAGAAGTATCTTGAGTCCCTAAAAGTAACCACAAATTCCAGTCATGGTACACAACAAATTCTACAACATGAGTACATGACAATATTCGATTTAATGAAACACATCAATGAATTTCTTTTTTAACTTCCAGATTCTCACAAAATACAACGTAATGTACGTTTCCAGTCGTTAATGAGTGACCAAATTATTAAGTGCTTTCTGCGTGATTAACATGTTTCTATGAAAAAGTATCTGAAGAAAAACTAATTTGAGTGATTAATTAGTATTACGTTCTGTGTTATGCAAAACTGTTTTATTACTTTGGGCCAAGAACATGAATGCATCAAACTATACCACAACGGTGCACACGCGCGCTGCAACTGTCGTCTCTTTTCAATCCTACACTTCGCTCGGTCAGGTTATGTGAAAGATCCTTCATTATTAAAGAATATACCAGAGTGTTGAATGTTCGAAATAAAATACTTTTATATGTGTGAAATGTGTCCAAACAATAGTGCTTGTTGCAAAGTACTGTAGTGCTATCATCGTATTTTTGAAATGAGTACCTGTTTTGTTTCATGTGAATTCTCTTATTGTAAATTGGCTAAATACAAAACTACTAATACAAAAACTTGAGTGCCCACTGAAAGTCAAAGCTAGAACCACGTCCGCGGGAGGCGAGTATATCTGACAGGCATAAAATGATGAAAGTGGTTTAATATAGGCTTTTATTAAATATAATTTTAATTAAGTAAATTTCATAAATTGCTTACATTTTATTACATGATATTGTTATGAATTTTGGGAAATAAATTTCCGTCATTCGATGTATTTGCAACCTCCAGTTTGTGGGAGTACCAGCCGCCACGCCATGGAAATATACGGACGATGTATGGGTGTTGTGACTCGAAAATTGGGCTGATTCTTCAAAATAATCAGACATATTATTAAAACTGTAATTGTGTCATCTGTGATGTAATATTTTATGGATGTATTAATATTCTCTACATAAAACTACCATATAGTTCATATTTCTAGTAATAATTGGAATACTTTGCCCAATGGCTTAATGTGAGATGATATACTTGAAACATTTTTCATAGAATCAAACAAATTATTTGAGTGTAAAATAAACTTTATTTTTTATGTATTGTACAAAATAAGGTACACTCCCTCCATCCATTCAGAGTTTCTATATTTTATTATCCCTACTTCATTTTTTTAACCTGCTTTAAGAAAACTAACATTCGTGACAATTAAATTAAGTAGCGATACTTTGAAATCGAAGACTACCACTTCGTGGCAATTCAGACCAAGATCCACTGTCTAATAATTCAATTTCCTACATTCTTCATCTGATGAGTTGCGATTCCAACGATAGTCAAGACTCAGGTAGAGATTAATCGAAAGGTCACAGCGGTTCACTGGGTGTCATGATTCACCACCTCACCAAAATTTGCAAATTTTGGCTCAGCGTATAAGAACACGTCCAATACGACGTAATAAAAACAAACAAACTAGGATGCTTTGTTTTGCGGACAAAGAGTAAAACTGCGCTTTTGACGACTGCGCCTCCGACGAAGGCACATCAGAAGGCTTATCACGTGCGTCTGGACAACAGCGCAACCGAAAACGAGCATTTTGCGACAGCGCACACAACTGCTCATCCGAGTAATTTCGATTGCGAAGACGTCAACGTTAATTCGCCGGCCCAACCGCCGACTACACTTTGATTTATTCACAGAGTTCGTTGAAATTTGATCAGCTGTTACGGTGTCATCCAATCGGGAGCTTAAACGTCACTACTTTTGGTGTCATCCAAGCTCTCGATCGGATGACACCGTAACAGCTGATTTACGTCAACTTACTCTGTTTAAATCGAAGTATAACCACGCTCCGCCGCACGGGCCCATCGCGATGCGTGGTCACGGGCTCCGCATTGGACGCATTCGTTCTGCGAGAGCGCAGTCGTCAAACACGCAGCACGCCCCGACGGACGTGCCTCGCCCTGCACAACCGCGTCTCAGTCGATGGCGAGTCGCCGGAAGGAGCCCTCGCAGCCGAAGAGCTGCGCCGCGGCGCGCTGCTTGTCGCCCGGCGGCGGCAGCGGCCGCCGCGCCTCGTCCGCCACCACCAGGTCCTGCGCCACCGCCCACGGCCCGTAGCTCTCCAGCTTGCGGCGCCACTCGCGCGCCAGGTCGCGGTCCTCCTCGCCGCCCAGCGCGCGCGGCAGCATCGCCCGCGGCACGTGGCGGTGCAGCGACTCCACCGTCGTGTGGATGTGGAACTGCAAGCGCAAAGACTCGCGGTTAGGTTTCGCTGCTACGTTGTCGCTTGTCATTGCCTTCGATACAGAGCTCGATGTACGCGGCGTAACTTGCCTGGATCGAGGGAAATACGAAAACAGTTGAATGCTGCTGCTCTGAACGTTCTCTTGTGGAGGGGACTATGAGAGGGAATTACGGGAAGGATATATTAAAAGACACACGGAGTCGAGTTAACGTCCAGTTAAGTAGTAAATACGTAAATCCGAAGAAATAAAATTAGGTAAAAAATAAAATCATATATGTATGGACAAAAAGCGCTTGTGCCAAAGGCCCTCGGCTTGTTTCTCACCGCTCAATGATTGTAACGTCCTACAGAAATGATTATTATTACTTTCTGTTACATCGACTGAACGCAGTGTAGTGAAAGGTCATTCTTAATGGGCGACTTGCGTTCAGGATGTATTAACCGCGTTTCTGGTGACAGTGAGTGTGCCGGTGTAAGAACGTATTACGAAAAAATTGAATATGGGTATCACCTTTTTAAAAGGTGGTCGTACGTATTAGAGCAAGCCTGATGATGTGAAAAATCATTTCACGAAACGTTGTATAACAGTACTCAACATTATTTTTCACCTATCAAGCAATACAAATAATTCCCATTTAAAGTAATGTTAGTTCTCTTTGATATGGTTATCTCTTACCTCTTTAATATTGCTCTGATCATGGTTAGTTATTTTTTATCAACTTTATTTGCATATCGTCTATGTATTTTTATAATTGTCTTTTTTTACAATTCAATATACCGACGTTTTTGGTTTAATAACTAATGCTATAATAGCAATGACTGGGTTCCAAAACAGCCTAAAAATAACAATTCTACCGCTAACACGTGCTATGATCTATCAAAATGCCAAGATTCAGGAGGTGCAAAGGCCGTCCAGTTCAAATTCATAGTAACAAATTTGAGCCCGCGCCAAGTCCTTCATATCGTGTATACATACACACACACACGCGCGCGCGCACATACACACACACACACATATCTATAATTCACTTACTCGGTTGCGGACTTTCTCCTTCATGACGGTCTTCATGAATGCGAGGATCTTCTCCATGGCCGGGTGCATGTTGAACAGGTGGATGGCGTGCATGCGCTGGGGGAATGCCTCCTGGAAAAACAAATAAAGGCAATTTTGCAGCGAAATTTTATAAAAAAATCAATAATTTTCACACACCAATTTCTACAATGAAGAACCCCAGTGACAGCCAATCCAATTCGTTCAATATCCCGAGCCTACATGGTGGACGCGCGTGTTGTTCTGTGTCATTGTCTTTTGTACTACATTTTTAAAATAAATTATATCATATGAGTGTATGAAAAATTATTTTTATCGTTTTATTGATAATCTGTTGCGGCGTGTTATCTCATGTTGATTATAATTCATTATTAGGATTTTCATTTCTTTTGCACAACTTTTTGAAATATTTGCACATACATGTGGTATGTAGGCGAATATGGTATGAATTAGTGGTGAGATTTTAGGACAAAATCTATCCTTCAGAAAAAGGAGTAAAGGTTTATGGCAGATTTCCCACCAAAAATGTGTACACATTCTCTCTTGCCATGAAAGACGTTAATGTTTGCGGCTTCCACCTTTCCTGTACAACGAGCGTGAAGTTCTCTACCCAGTTGTAGGCGAAAGTACGGAAAATGGAAAACATTTAGTGAAAGTGAATTTTTTCTCGAAATACTTGCACTTTTTCCATCAAGGTAATCTGCAATAAGTACCGCAAATCGACATCCTGACAGTAAATCTGCAAGAGTTCATTATGTGTTTTACAGCTTTATTTACATATTATGTCGGCTCTATAGTCATTACGTTTCTCGTAACAAAGACAAATAATTAATTTAATGACTAATAAATTATGAACATTTTTAAAGTAATGAACAATTGCCAATGTGCTCGCAAATGTTTCAAACTTAGGCAAAAGAATAATTGTGAATGTGGAATAGAAAAAATATTTACAACCGATCTTATTCGTATTGGCAGTGTGACAGCGCGATTTTGTGCCTTTCATGTGACGTGACGAGGTGAGTCGGTACGTTGAGGCAAAAATGTGAAGGAATTTTGGCACCGCGTCGCTAAACCATGCAACAAATAATATTGAGTCAGTGAAGAAAATGTGAAGATATTCTGTGAAGTTTAGAACAGATCCTATCTTTAAGGAAAGCGAAATCTGTCAACTGACAAACCACGAAAATAATTCAGCGACCTGTAGATTAGATAGACCGAAAATTAGAGTTTTCAAAAGTTGTTCCTTTTTATTCCATGTGTACCCTTATTTTCGTATCTGAACCAATGTATTTTATTAGAATTTTCGAAAAAAAAGGATAATTGTATTTATTTCAGTTTCAGAAAAATAAATAAACCTTTTAATAAAATGACATTAAAATTGTTGTGAAATGAAGAATCGAAAAAAGGTGGTTTGGGAATTACTGACTCCAAAAAATAAAGATTTTAGTGTGATTGGAGCAATAATATTCACCATGAGAAACAAGTAGATTTAAAATGTCAGAGATGATCGGAAGTCATCCTACATAAAAGAAAGAATGCATATGTGACCACGGGATAAAGTGGAGCGGAAGTTCACATGTGGCCTTGAAATTCGCCTTCGAGACTCCAACGCCAGAACCTCCCGGCGAGAGCCACTGCAGTGGCAAATCCCAGCCATCCCAGCTGGCAGATTATTATAAACCAGGTGTTTCCAACGGAGTCGGTATCCACCCATTGGGGATCGATGAAATTTTGATGGGATGAATTGAAAGAGTGAAAACTAGAACGATATAAGTGGTATATTACAAATTGTGAGAAAACGTGTTTATTTAAGGCTATATTTTAGTGGAAATGTATTTTCGTGGTTTTAATGAACAATTGATATGTCATTTAGATTTAGATTTATTTAGTCAAAAACAGTAAAAACTGTACGTAAAGTATGGAGGAGAAGATCTGCTTTTCTTGAGTTCCAGAATCCTTTGCCACCATTTTCACTGTAAATAGTTGAAAGATGAGTAAAAGTTAAAGATCACTAAATAAAAATAATTTTAAAAAAGCGCGAGATATGCAATATTTGAAAAAATAGACATTTTCGTTTCCGAGTTATAGAAAGCTCGGTAAATGAATTGCAAGTATGATTTTTCTGCATTGCTAACAAAATAGTAACTTGCTCTTACCTCTACTCTTACCATTACAAGCAAAAGGAGAGTTCAACAAAATGTGCGCATAGTGAGCTACATTTACGTCCAGAAGCAAAACAAAGAGCCATCTCAGCATTTGCTCAATGGATCAGGGAAACCAGATCGAGATGTTACAAAAACCAGATCGAGATGGGATCATTGACCCGGAAGCTGAAGTATATTATTTGTTACAAACATATTAAGTCTTTTTTTAAAAAGAACACTTCAAATGTACACTAATTCAATATAAATCACTGTTTTGTTAAAATAAACTTTAATTTTCTTTTTAATTATCAGTATAGTCTCTAATTGTATAGAAACAGTTATGCCGCAGGAAAGATTTTACTTTTAACCTAAATTTGTGAACTGAGTGCAATTATTTTACGTCATCTGGCAATGCGTTGTAAAGTAACGTAGATGTATTGTATGTGGATATATGATAGTGAGCTGTTGATAGTGACACTTGGTGTTCATCAATCACCGTGATTTCTACGACGTCATGGTTTTAAGACGAAACAAAGCACTACTACTTTACAGTACTATTGACTTAAACAGATTTCTAAGAATTTATAAAATATCACTTATACTGTTCTTGTTTTCATCCATTCAATTATGATCAAGGTGTCGAAGCGGCGTAAATAGCTTCATGCCATGACAATGACATGACAATAGGCGACTGATCGGTATAATCAAGGTTCTAATGATTCCAAAACAGTATAAATGAAGTTTATAATTTTTTTCTTACAAGAGTATGTAAAACTACAAATCATCTGATGACAGCTTATCATTTATATTTGTAAATATTGCAAAATAGAATTGTTTAAAAAGTAACAAAAGTGTAATATATCACTGTTTCAAAATTTGTATTCATATTCTTTGTCTAATTTGTATCAAGTTACGTATGTAAAATTTATTTGTGTTAGGATTATGTTGTATGCTATATAATATAGAAAAATTCATAGGGGTGGATCAAGCAAAGCATTCTTGGTTTGGAATCTCTATTATAAACCGAAAATGTTTCCTTAGAAAAAAAGTGTCGCCCTGAACCTTCCCAGCCGTTTACAGCGGTAGTAGAAACGTGTGTTGTGAGGAGATAATGTCCCGAGCCACAGCTTACGTCACTATCTTCTTCTATGAGAAAATTCGACGACTTCTTCTATGAGAAAATAAAGTTATTTCTGAAACGCAAAAACAAAAAAGTATTTTCAAGACCTCCGTCTTACAGGTCGTACAGTTTAAGTTACAACTTCCTAACCATCTCGAAGCTCGCAGAGCATTCTGCTTATTTATTAAGGTCTATGTTGCTAGGAAAAGATAACCGACAACGGTAACCCGCTACGTTACAACGACCCGTCATCGGAAAAGGATCGTATGCAAATTGAGGACCAAATAATCCGTTCATTATTTCTCGCGAAACTTACTTTCCAATTATATATGTAAATTTGGAACCAAACTAATCCAGGTAAAGGAAAGGACTAATTGAGTAAGTGGGTGCGTTGAAGGGGCCGCCGTTCAGCCGCCATCCAGCTCTTCCATGTGCCTTATCTTCCAGATTCGCTCCTGTATCAAATTGAAAAGCAAAGGAAGCCCTAGAAGTGTGTCTAAATGCCATGTCCAATATTCTAGAATATTAGCAGAGAAAAAGGAAAAATATATAAATGGCAAGATAAGCACAATTATCAATCAACGAATGATTCAAGTGAATGATATCCAAATCATATTTCGAAAGAAATATGCCAGTCCAAAGTCTGGAAAATTGGGAATGGAGTTATGTTTTGCAACATAAAAGCTATGAAAATGTTCTACGAAAATAAAATGTCACCTTCCATTTTTACCTGGAATGGGATGAGGTAGTCGGTCCCTAATTTACGCACGTCCTTCTCTGGGTCGGTCCCCAATTTACATACTTATTTTGCTTCCGGTCCCCGATTTACATAGGCCGAGGCGGGCGGTGCGGGCGGTGTGGGTGGTGTACCTGCACGGCGACGAGGGCGTCGCGCACGAGCGACGCGTTGGCCAGCACCTGCGCGCAGTGCGAGGCGGCGAAGCCCGAGAAGTCGAAGAGGAAGACGTCGCCGGCGAAGGCGCCGGGCTCCTCGCGGATGCGCACCTCGCCCACGAGGAAGATGAGCTGCACGAGCGCGCCCACGTCGACGGGCGGGCCCGCCCCCGCGCCCGCTGCGCGCGCCGCCTTCACCAGCGCCGGCGCCATGCGGTGAACCGTCACGCGGTGGCCGGCCGCCGTCAGGCGCGGCAGCGGGAACACGTGCCTGCGCACGGCGCATTACACAACTCTTACACGAGGGCACAAAATGTTGAGAAACACAGAAACACAAATTATGGTTTTATAAATATATTTTAAAAAATCACATTTCTTTTTTAAATGAGATTTTCTTGATGCAAATCCAATGCAATTGGATTTGCGTTGGAATGGAATTGGTACTAATATACAGAGCGCAGAGTTGGGCAAAATACTTTAAATGTAGCACTTAAATACTTCGCCAAAATACTTGGTAAATTTGCATTTAAATGGTACTCAAAATACATTAGATTTTGATTTGCTAAATACATACGCATTTAAAATATTTCAAATACTCAAAATACAGTAAATATAATCATTTTGTCTTCTATCTTTATTATTGCAACAATATATTATAATATTGTCAAACTTAATATATTAGTAATTGTCAGTCATACAAATTTCTGAACAATAACTAACTGTAATATATATGTACGTATAAACATTTCAAATATAAAATGATATAAAAATATGTCTAATTTAAATAAACTTAATTTTCTTTTAAAATGACTAATTTTTCAAACAAATTATCAATCATCAAACCCGTAGTTGCCGAATATATAAAGCAAGGAAAACTCGTTCAACTGGCACATAAACATAACATAATGAACTTGAACTAGTGTTATAACGAGTAAACACTTTTTTATTGTCGGATAATTGTCCAGCATTTTTAATGATTTATTTTTTTCATTTAAAAATAAAGAGAATTCATATCAAACAACCCACAAGAGTTTATATTTTTGTTTCAATGAGGTGCATTCACTAACGGAATCAAACAAAAAACTTTTCTCATTATCTTCTTCGTCTGTATTTAAAGTATTTCTTTTTTTTAAATACACATGTTTTATGTATTTAAATACGTCCCCAAAATACACATACAAAAACCTTAAAATATTTTTTTAAAATACAAAATGTATTCGTATTTCAAGTATTTAAATACTGCCCATCCCGGACAGTGCGCCAAGAAAGACTCTCCGCACCGAGCCGAGTCAGGGCCTCCTATTAAAAATTGCATTTATGTTCGTAGTAACAAGATTATTGGGAAACAAGCGAAGGGGACAACACTTTCAATGCCTATTATGATTGTAATGAGTGACCAATTTACGTTTCTTGTTACAAGCTTGTGCTACCAATACAATTCAGTTGCAAGCACTTTCACCAGCAAGGTGACACTGCGGAGAGACTATTCTGGCGCGGTATATTTGTAACAATTTTTGGATATATAATTCATTTGTTGTAGGAGTCTTTTTTGTGTAAATTTATTGAAATAATAAAATATAGAGATATATTTTAATAGAGATAGATTAGAGAGATAGTTTTTAATATGAATTACAAAATTATATGAGGGTTAAATATTTTTCTGCTATTTTTTAAAAATTAATATTTAATTAGGTAAGCCATCTAACTGATGATATAAAATATTTCATTTTCATTTTTGTTAAATATTTAAAATAATCTTTCGTTTTGGTAAATATCTAAAAAATCGTTCGATTTAAGCAGCAATACTTAAAACTAAATCTATGTTTTGTGTGTATTTTATCGAATTGTACATTAAGTTTTATAAGTAAACTCTCTAGAACTTTTTTAACTTTTAAAAAGTACAAGAATGTTTAGATGACTGAAGTTAAGGTATAATTAACGCAAATGTTTCTACTTGGCTCTCCGGGAGATCCAGGAGATGTCAAGTGACCCGAGGGGGTCTCTTTACCTTGTACACCCCTCGTTATTGCAAAATATAGTATGCGACTCGTTTATAATGATAAGCTTTATTGCATGAGTACATGGTTTGAAAACGAGCGCCTTTAGGAGCGAGTTTTCAAATCTGTACGAATGCAATAAAGCAACACTATAAACGAAGTGCATATGCAATTTGTTTTGTATAACAGCATTATAAATTTATAAGAGAATCAAATTTTATTTTGAGAAACAACTTTCTTGTGACGTCTCGGGTATTTGACATCTGCGCGAGAAATCGGTGTTCGGCTGTTCCGTTCACCCCACGGTTCTCTCGCTGCAATTGGCTGAACGTGTGATGACGCAATCATTCGTGCCGTAAATTGCTAAAACAACGTCATCATTTGTGCCGTAAAAGACCCTTATTACGAACGATTTCTTGCAACAGAAAAGGTCGTTTATAATGTCGGTGTACAAAAAAATGGTTTATCCAGTCTCCACTGTACTGGCCTCGTTCATCCCCGTCCTGCGAATTCGCTGAGAACGGAAACTCAGGTCGCGTGCGCGGAGCGGCGCGGCGCGGCGCGGCGTGGCGGGGAGGCCTGCTACTCACAGGATGTCCATGGCGCGCTGCAGGCGCTCGCCGCGCGGGTCTCTGCGCTGGAAGAGCGCGGGCACCGTCCCCCGCGACGTGAAGTACGCGTCGATCTTCCGCTTGGTGCGCTCCAGGTCGTGCTTGCAGCCGCGCAGGAACACGCGGATCAGCTGCTCGTCTGCGCACAGGCAAGCACGGGCACGCTCAAGACAAGCGACTTCATCTCCATCATCATAGCAACAACAACATAATCATCTTCTCCCCCAAGTGATATTTAAGGCTAACAACCTTGTCTTAACCAAGGGATGCAGCCGAAAGGCTGATCCCCATATCTCCTCACGTTCATGTCCCTAGCATAGAATACAACTGGACCTCGGAGAGAGAAATGTGTTGCGTGGTCAGTAGAGGTCCATACGCGAATAATAATAATAATAATAATAATAATAATAATAATAATAATAATAATGATACAATCTTAATTTTTTAAGTTTATATATGAATGTATAATCAGGAGGTCTCAAAATTAATGTTACAAACGTTTAGGATATGTAATGGGGTCGAAAAAAATAACTTTTTGCCAATGTACAAGTTGTAGGAAATTTTTATCACGAAGATACGCATGCGACATTTGCCTCTGATTGATTAAAGTACGCCCTATTGTTCGGAAGATTACGTTCTGAAACATCGCGTGAAATTTTCCACCACATGTTCGTCGGCAAAAAGTTATTTTACGTCATCCTGCATGCCCTAGACGTTATGGCATTGTAACATCTGTCACTGTTCACTTTAGTACAACTAACTGCATGTGGAGATTTCTAGTTCAATTAGGAAAGAAAGTTAGTTTCAATACACAAATTTAATGAATAGTAAGTCAATCCTATATTCTTCTCCTTCCTCGCTCTTCACTTTACTTCTCTGTACTTGCTTCTTTACTGTCAGGTATATCTCACGACAGAAACAGCATTTCGCTGTACTTCGCAGTGTGGATTTTTATTCACTTCCCAGCTTACCATATTTATTATTAATCTAAGGATGAACTTATTGTAGTATTCTCAAGTAGTTTCTGATTTTATTTTTAAACGTAATTGTAACACAATTGTAATCACTCTTTTGTATTGCTAAATTAACACTATCTCTGAAGAAAATTAATAGATACGACCTATGTAACTTTTCTTCCTCATAAATTAAGTTATATTTAAATTATTTAATATATAAATAACTATTAAATAGCTTTTGGAAACTCCGATTGATCGTGAGACAGTGTAAAGAATTCAAGATTGCAAAATCGCAAGATTGTCATTCCAATTTTTAATGGAAGTTAAAGTTGATGGTTGTAATAATACAGAGTGAAAACTCTAGCTTGCGGCCCTCGCGATCCTTGAGTTTGTGTAACAGGTATTTCATTGAAAATTACATGCACGACCATTTCTCTTTTCAATACTGAAACCTGACGGACTTTTACTCGCCGTAACGGAAATTCAAGGTGCAGCTTGGACCTCCGATATCTTGTGATGTATAATCCTTCAGAGAAACGCACTATGTGATTCGCGCAAAGAGCTCTGTTTCTTGCTGCAAACAGAACGTTCAGTAATCCTTTTTTGTAATGCTGTTTTATTTATTAAACGCAACCAGTGAGAGCAACTATCAACTACTGGTGGACTTTGAGCACGTGATTGTCGAAATTATTAATTCACTTGAAACTGATTTTGTTTTCAAACAAGTAGCTACACTACAAGTTGTGTTTAAAAGAGTGTTTGTATACATGTTAATTGCGTGTATATGTAGAATAATACAGATACGCAAGTTTTAAATTTCATATTTCTGATATTTGGCTAATTCCTGGGAGTTCCTTACGGTTTCATATCTCGCGCCGAATCTCGATTGTGCATTCGTGCAACTTTTTGCAGCTCTGTGCCTGAGACAGTGCTAAAGTATTCATACTCATTTGAACGGAAGCTTAAATGTTCGTTTACGAGAGAAGCAAATACATAGCCGTCGTTGAGTGCCCGGCTGTTTATTTTTCTTTGGACTTTCAGAAAGCTATTTCCACGTACAGCAAATAACCACATGTGTTACTGCCATGCGTACATGCTACGGTAGTGCTAATGATGTGACATTGGCACAGCCGCATGAGGGGTAAATCAAATTCAAGGTGGGATGGTGCAAGATATACCTTCTCTCTCTCTCTCTCTCTCTCTCTCTCTGTCTCTCTCTCTCTCTTACATACACACACACACACCACAGTCAGGATGAGCCTGAGGTCTTTGCACGCGCGGTACTGGGGAAGACGTAAACAAATTTTAAAAAACACTAATATTCCCCCCTCAGGGGCCAGCTTCAACGAAATTGTACATCTCGCATTAATGGAATGGAGTTAGTGGGGGCCTGGCATTAGTGGGTCTATCGATAATCCACTAATCCACTGAGGTATCCGCAGCCCTTCTTAGCTAGTTTCACGGTTAATACTGGAGAAGACTTTTGAGATCATTGGTGAGTAGCAACATGATATATAGGGATGTGTACAAGCTCATCAGCCGATAGTAAGGATGGCCATGGAAGCAGTTGGTGGGCCAGCATCTGCCCGGGAGTGATAGGAGCGTTCAATGGCGCGTGATTGGTCAGAGCAGCCGCCGTGCGATATCTGCTTGGCTGGTGCCGAAAATCCGCCGGACTTGAGTCTAGGACCTTCCGCTTTACGAAGCCTCTATGATGGAATCGCAGCTACAGTACGAAATCACCCCCGGTGCAAAATGTGCTAATCAAGCTATTGAAGCTATTGAAGTATGGGAGAAATCTATTTTGTTATAGTGAGATGACTTATTTCGGTTTATGTCCGATACCCTACCTCAAGGGGTGTCGAACTTGCAAGGCCTAAACATCCACAACTAAAACCTTTAATATGGTTGCGGACCATATTTTTATTACTCGGGCGATCCACGTCTGACTTCTCCGTATGTTGATCTCGGCTGTTTGCCGGGATGGTCTGAAACGAGAGGGGGGAGGGTATTGAACTATGCGTGATATCAAGCTGTACAAGGCATAAAACAGTTAAACACATTGGGATTATATTAAATTTCTGAATTGACAAGATGAAAACCCCCTAAATCCAAGCGTAACCTATTTTTCTATCAATGGGTGTGTTGACCCCGACAGGGCGCAAGCTCTAGGCGTGCAAGTGTTCGCCGGCGAAAGCGGCTTAAACATTTGTCTAATGATCTTTAGAAGAACACAATAAATGGCACCGCGAGTCGCCAGTTGGAAAGCCCTGCCTCACCCAGTTGCTATTTAACTGCGCCCTAGAGTTCCGTCTAATGCAATCAGCGGCTACCACCGCTGTGCTGTTTAACTATTAACTGTTTAATTGTTTTTATAGACTTCAGGAGGCAGGTCCTTCAGTAGTGAATTCCACAGGAGTCCTTAAACCGTTGGTGGCGAACATATACGTTACTTTAAGGATTTGGGTAGCCATACGAATTTCAGAGAGGCCTGTGTTTAGAGGCGATGCACATGGAACTGGGAATATCCGCGAGCCACAAACATAACGTCTTTTGCGACCACACTGCACTGGTGTCTGGGTACTTTGGGCTCATCTGCCTCACGTTCCTGCATCACTGCGCCAGCTGTCTCAAGAATAGCAGCCTGCATACTCCAAGTGTAATTTCCGTGGTAGAAACTCGCATTGCATTCTTAATCACAATGTCCAATACACAATTATCATTGCTCTGCAAATCATACTGAAACGAAGAAGCTAACAGAGCTGCATGAAAAAAGAAAGTTGAGAATAATGATGACCAAAGATTTAACAGAGAAGGAATAACAAAGTTGTTGATGAAATACCCCCGAATCATTTAGTATACAATTTTTTAAAAATAAATATTGAAATCTCAACTTCACTACTTATTTATTGAAAAGTTACTCTGCGGCGAGCAGACAGAAAATTAGTATTAACGCGCGCGGTACGTGATCCCTTAGTTAGGGCATTGCTCCGGTATTCATCTGGTATTGTTCGGAGAAACAACGGAAAACTACCGATATAACTACCAATCGTGACCTTAAAGTAAAAAGTTTCTATCTACCATTTTGTTAAAAAATGACGTTATGTGATGATTGTAATGATAGCGATGAAATTTACATAACCTCTAAGTTAAATTGATGTACGAAACTTAGTTTCTGAGATACAGGCGAGGTAAAATGGTACTATCTGCAAAACGCATATTCAAGTTCGTGAAAAAAAGGTTATATCTGCTTCACCGCGCAAACGAATCTGTTTACATGTATGTGGACACTATATTGATGGCTACCCTGTGTGCTCGATTCCCACGCAAAGTGTCGAGATTATAAGATATTTTGAAAAGCAGATTTAATTGCAACGTTGAGTGAAAGTGAAATCGAAGATGGTGTTTTTAAGCATTCTGGTTCTGAATACGATCCTAGTGCGACACGTTGTACTGAACTGGTCGAGACACCAAGGAGACGTGTTAAAGCAAATCATAATGCTGTAAGAAGTTAAACATATCTATTTATAAACTTAAAACAATTTATTCTTTATCAGGTCTAATTAGCAACCAGCCGGAAATTACAATAGTTCGTCAATATTGGGCATTTGAGAATTTCTTTCGACGTCTGAATGAATGTCTCGCAAACTCTTCGAAATTATAGGTTACGCGACATCGACTACTTGCACTCCGCTTCACATGTTGGTATAATGTTTTAAAACTGCTTGCCTATAAATCCTATTTACAATTCGGATTATTACAATATTACTTCTGTTCGGGTAATAAATGTATTCAGAACTCGTCGTTATGCGCGCATGGATCTAGTAGACCCAATCCGTTTTAAGAACTATGTACCGCGCCGTGTTGTGAGTGTAAGTTTTCGGGAGACATTTTGTGTTGAACGATTTTGCACCCGGAGGCAAAGTTTCCAACAGACACGTTGGAGGGCGAGGGGCTTCATAGATCCTCTTTCCTTGCCGACATATGCAATTACCAGAAATACAGCTCCAGGTGCTCCACTCGCACTTAATCATTCGTGTATTTGGAGGCTTTAGAATAATATAGTATTCCCTTTTCTAAACTGTTAACATGTAAACGTTTTGATCTGTAAATGGCAGATAATGTAGGTAAGATACGAGGACTTCTCTTCAAATACGATGTTTGAAATGAATATTTCGAAGAGAAGAGTTTAGATGTGCACCATGAAGTAGGCAAAGATGATTTAGAACAATATCCTAACATTTCACTTATTTTTCACTGGTATACAAACATGATAAACATACTGTCGATGGTGATTTTGTCATCTTAAAAATATTACTGCAACAAATGGGAGAGAAATTTGTTTAGCATCGAGTACCTACACGAAGAACTTGACTCAAATCTTGTGACTCCAGCAGTTGCAAAGATCTAATATTACTTGTCTTCCAAGAGAAATTCAATAAATGCTGAAAAGAGAAACATTCCTTTTAAAGGATTGAGTTGGGTGATATTCTCTTTTCTTGTTTACGTGAAATTGTATTTTTCGTTTAGTTAATTAAATCATCCTTAAAATATGCAATATATACTGAAATTTATGTCTCATTAAATTCCCTTTCAATATTTTACCAGAGAAAATATACCATACATGTTCTCCAATAGATTCATAGAATGTTCTAAAAGCAACAATTACAGCAAGGGGCTACTAGTCCCAGCGCGACTAAACGCGTTCATTAAAATGAGAGGCTTACGAAGGGTTAATTATCTAAATGTACTATCTCTACAAGGATTGTTGTGTGAACGAAAGCTGTCGATTTGTAAAAATATAAAATATAAACTTTTAAGTAAGGAAAAGGTAGCCTATTTAGCCTACATGTTGAAACGGATGCCAACTCTGGATCAAAACTACTTCAAAGAATTGTTAAAAAACAAAAATAATAGCGTTATAGCTCCGCAACATTCTAATTCAATATGTAAAATATCATTTTAAATATAAGTGTAGTTCAGTAATTTACAATAAAGTACCTTTTCCACTTCTAATTCGCTAATTCTAAGTAATGACTATAAATTAAAATGTCAATATTATTGAGCGCTTTAATATGATTTGTACTAAAATGTAAGCAGATTTCTTTATTTTCATTAAAATGTAATAAATGATAATATTACATGGATATTTGCAATTATTTAAACAATATACCAGTCAAATTTTCTTACCATCAAAGATAGAACCTTTTAGCTCGAACTTGAAAATACATATTGAAAGCAAAAAAGTTCTATCTGTAAAAATAGGGTCTTGGTTTCTAGCAAAGTTATCATGCTGTTAACATAATTATAAGTCAACAATTTTGTGCTTGGATGTCATGTACAATGTGAAAGCTTGAATACATTTAAAAAATAGATTTTGTGTTAAAGAGGGCCAAAACTTTGAAATGCTCTCCTGTAAAATTTACTGCAATGCAGATAGAACCTTTTTACTTAATTTAGGGTCGTATTATGCAGAACCGAACCGTAAAATAAAAAAATAAAAAACTGGCGACATCAAAGTACACAAAACGTTGCGGCGGCGTAAATAAGAATGTTTTCGGTTTCGCACTCTGTGAATTATCCCAGCACTATATACTTGTAAGTTTCCATGAATTCAAACAAAATAATCATATGCCTTCGTGACTCAAATGAAAATGTTTTTGAAACACCTTTCAAAATGCCGGACTCGGCTCTTATTGTCTTGTTTGCCAACATTTCATTCGCACGTCAAAATATCCTCTTCTGTACCAGTACGAAAATTAATAACATTTGCAGTATTATATCAAGTGAAAACAGTCATGTATATGAAGCAATGCAACTTTTGCAACTCAACAAGAAACCTCACAAGCAAATACTTTCTTCGTTTTTGTTCTAACGTTTTTACACTGACCCGTCATAATTGCATCTGCACACTATTGCGTCTTTCACACGACGAGAGGATAACACTCGTCGCACACAAATAAAAAGAGGAATGTCGCATGTTCTTCCAACTCTTCAGTTAGACTAAGAGTTCACGGAAAACCGAGATAGACACCTTCAATGATGAGAATGTTTGCCACCGTGAACGAAGTTTTCGTGTGCACAGCAGAAGCCATTTGATTTTACACCCCCTGACATTTCTTGAAATCAAATGTAGTACCATGAATAGGAGTTTATGTTTAAAGGACACTAAAGCTGCTACTGTGGGTTTATGAATCATACTGCATTTTCAACGAGAACGGCTGAATTGGAATTTTTATATTTGCTATTTGGAAGTGTTAAAAATATTTTGTAACACTTTTGTTGCGATCATTTCCTTTTATCACATAGCTGCATTTAATCTGATTGGCAATATTTCTGTCTGACAAGTCTATAAAGCAGTGTTTCTTTCACGTTAATATAAATACACTCGATTTGAAACAACAGAAAGCAATATGGAAACATGAAAAGATAAAGTTGGAAAAATAAATTCTACTTTTAAGAAGACATTTGAGAGATCGTACTTTATCCATTTTGTCACTGTTCGTTCTTGAGAATATAAAATAGATTTCAATTTAAACATTCATATTAAAAAGAATCATTACAAACAAAAAGACATACTGTTCCTATGGCTTCCTACTTCAATCAATGTGTTTATCGTCTTACGAATTTTTCTTTGTAGTCTCATACGTTACACTCAGAGAAAAGAAACATCACTCCAGTAAAGATTTATGTAGCATTTAGCGAGTTATGACCTTACAAGGTTGGATATCTATCGCCATTATATTCTTTTCTAAACGAACGGGGTATAAGAACAAGTGAATGGAGGCAACAGAATGCAAAAATTAAATTTACAATTTGCCTTCACTCGAGGTATACTTTAAAATGTGCCAAAGAAACAAAGAATAGTTAATAACCAAGAAAGAACTGTTTCCATTACGCACTAGGTCTTGAGAAAGTCCTCATCAACCTTGCAACATCTTAGAAATAAAATAAAAAAAAACAACAATAAACGTGTAATGGTAGATGTTATTTTTCGTTTGTCGCAAACTAATTTAGTCTTCAGGTCTTCTCTTGGGGCGACAGTAATAGCAATTTGAACATTTTGTAAAATCAAGGAATTCGTCAGCGAAATATTGCGATGAAAATTAAGAAAACCAAATAATGGACACCAACCTTTCTTACATTTCGAATCATCTTTTAATATTTTTGAATGATCACTTTGAAGTGTTCAATATATATATCGTCCATTCAGCCCCTCTTTCACCCCTTTTAAACACTTCTGCCTTAGCAGTTACATACATCGCAATAGGAACCCGTGCACCAAATTTCTCAGCTACTTTTGACTGTGCCTTGGTATAGCAAGTGATTTGTCGTTTTGAGGTCATATAGGTGCATATATTGTGTTCGCTTACCGAGGGGCTTTCCGTCGGAGGGCTGTGGGAGGTGCGGCTGGCGGCGGTACCACGCCTGCACGTGCACCACGCCTTGCGTCAGCAGCCCCGGCGCCTCTCGCAGCTCCTCCAGCACGGCGGGCAGCGACGCCTCCTCCACCGCCTCCAGCAGGGCCATGGTGCCACACACCTGCGCACAACACACCACCACAATCAATGCATATGAAAACTTGCACGGATTTCTGCATTTTTGATTAATGGTTTTCGATGTGTTCAATGTGTATACAATATACTCTTGGCTGTCCTATTATTCTAAACTTTCTACGGGCTACTAGGAAGGAGTTCTGTGGCTGAAATGATCGGCTGATATTGTTGTTGTTATTATTATTATTATTATTATTATTATTATTATCCAACCAAGATAAAGATTTAAATCAACAAAACATTTTTCCAAAATTGTCTTTTTGTGGTCTTCCATTTTATTCAATAATAAAATACAAAAAATAATATATCATAAACAAGCACAATAGCAATTTATTACACTAATAATAGGAATGACAAATGAAGTAGCATTGGAGCAATACAACAAAATTCGACAAAACAAGACATAGCTCAAGTTTGTAATAGTATTTATTAAGTGGTTTGCTGAATATTGCGTTACTAATCAATTACGTTGAGTAATTTACAATTACGTTGAGTAATTTTTCAACCATAAACATATTAAATATTCTTAACATTAAAATATAAATGTTTTCTAAAATTTTAAAATGAATATATTTCAAGTTTACTTTAAATTTAACGTAATTGAAAATTAAATAGTTTGTATAATTCCGGTTTTATAGACCACTGAAATACTAACTAAATTTTTAATCTTATCATAAATTTTCGAAACTTTCATGTAAACTTTTGACGTGGAACGTATATTTGTGACTTCAAGTTAAAATTTAAAATGAACAGAAATATTTTTATTAATTATTCATTTAAATAATCATTTTATGGTGTAAAAGTTCTTCAATTAATAGTATATGTCTATTTTCCATCAATGTAGTAAGTAAAACATTCAAAAAGTACATTATTTGTAAAATATACCACTTAAATAAAAAAAATCGATATAATTAAAACGTCGGAGTTACTTAAAAATATATAACTTTTTTTAAAACCAAAATTTTGTGGTAGGAAATATAGTGGAAAAGTATATGTATGAGTATAAAGGAGTGAATTAAAGTAATGCGACGTTTGACTTAACGTACATTATCCTAAGAAACACTGAAATTACCAATTATACCCGTTACTTTATCAAAGTTTTCTGAACGTAAAGTGTTTTAAGTTCTATTTCTCCTCTTAAAGACCAATGAGAAAGTTATGATTTAACAATAGAAGGGAGCGAACTATTGGGTAATAGTTTGTAATGATTGTAAGTAATGAGCCATTGTTGAGTGGCGAATTTAAACCTTTCATTGACAGAATTCGCTTGTTAGATTACCAGATGGAGACCCCTTAGTATATCCTTGGCCTATTTGCAAATATTCTAATACAAATGAGTCGAGCTGACGATTATGAAACCAGAGTGCAATCGTCAGCTACAACGTGTCCTGGAATACGCATGCTGTTTTCATTCCACCGACGCCATTACAATGAAACTCTTGCACTTTCGTCGTTTAGCTGTGTTGTACTGACGTAGCAAAATCCGTCTTCAGAGCCTGACTAAGTGTCTGGTATGTTTTATTGTAAGCTTCTTTTTCAAGGGAGGTGTGTCAGAAGGCGTAACATTTTTTCTCAGGAATGTTTTGTAAAAAGGTTTAATAAAGGAAAGAAAGAAGAGGAAACCTTGGTAGATATAACTCCTTTATTTTTTGAAATTTGAAATTTAATGAGATGTTCATTATTTATCTACGAACGTTTACACGAACGTACAATGTACTCCCCGAAAAAATAATACTAATAACTTGAGATTGCAAATGGAAATTACCTTATGTACGTCATCTATCCGTATCACGTTATTGAGACACAAATTGCCTTAATGGGAGAGCTGAACAGATCATGTAATATTTTGGATTATTTCGAAAGTATATTCATAATTCACAGTGTGCACATAGTCTATTAAAACTTAAAGGTCTTTGCAGTACAGTTCGAAAAAATAGCACCATCAAAATTATGTAAAGTACAAATCGTAAAATTATGTATGGTTTGGGAAATCGTATAATTACAGAGAGCGCCATCTTTGCAATTGACGACGTGATATGCCTTTCGAACTCCTAGAGAGCTCGTTTTAAAAGAGTTCAAATAAGTTCAGTGTTTTTTCAATTGACAACCATTGAGTGAGCTGTCGGTGAGCTCAGTCCCGCATGTCTATTGACACAAGACTTGCGATGTTTGCATCGCTCTCGTACGACAGACGTGTCCTCTCGTGACATCGCAGCTGCGACGGAACGAAGTTGCGCTGTCCAGAGTACTTCCTCAAAAGGCGAAAACTCTGTGACTTTTGAGTAAAGCGTTAGTCTTACTCGTAAATATCGCTATAGAATTTAAAGTATGTAAATGTAAACATATTTAGTGATTAGGGGGAAGAGCAGGCGTTACGGAACATGGACCGCGCGTGATAGTTTCTTTCTCTTCCTTGTCCTTTCCTTGCCCCTTGCTTATACACTACCACAATTGTGGGGAGACCCGTTGGGAGCTTAGAGCTTGACCGAGTTGGGGCGGGGCCAGCGCGTGGGAGATACCTGGTGATGAAAAATTCCCGCAAGCCAACGTAGGTCGGCGCCGGATCTTGCCAGCCAGCGGGCGAAGATCACTGCCCCGCGATAAAAACATGCAATACACTCGCAGGACTGATGGCCTTAGCATTTGGCGCGTCCGAAATCACTAATCAATCAATCATATTGAGTCGCCGACAGATAATAATGTAAATAAATAACTTGTAAAAAAGGATGACGTATGAGTACTCATAATCACAGCAAAAGTATTTCCTGTTGTGGGAATTTTTCTGAAAAGGTGACATAAATTTTATTGAACTGCATCGGACAATAACACAAATAACGGACTGGGGCGTTAGCATCGGTTTACGAACTTTAATCACGACCTTTATTGGCTCTTTCTCGACTCATAATCTTCTATATCGGACTATAAATGAAATAATTGTTACATTTATAATTAATAATGCAATTTGATGTTTCCAAGCATCGAACTTCCGTTCCTGCAAAGGTGAAAAGTCACAAGATGACTCCACTTTCCGCACGCTGCGTGTACCACTTCGTCATAAGGGAGTAGGGCGGCATCCTCTCCAAAGTAGGTGCCACGGGGGGTTGTTAGTTTAACTAGGTTCACCACTATTAATATGTGTAGTTTGTCGCCAATCGTAACTACAATGCCATGACTTCCAACGACGTTATCGAAAGATATGGCCCGGAGACCCGAGCTTATGGCACTCCCCTCTTTGAGAGGAGAAAACCGTGATTTTGTATAGTGGGGGTTTTATTTTTAAAAATTAATCCAATTTAAAAATTAATTTAACTTAAATTAAAATTTGTTAACACTATTTTTATTTTCAACTTTTTCTATTTTCTAATAATATTTTAATTCAATTGCATTAAACAGAAATAAAAAAAGGACATACAATAGTATTCCAGACGAGACATTTAATATCAATTAAAAAAATCTAAATAAGCGTGTAATCTACTTTAATTACTACGAAAATGGTCAACCATAAATCGAAAAAAAGTGGCCAGTTTGGGAGAAACAATAAAGAGAGACGATCTTTATCATTTGTTGTCCCAAATGTCCCATTAAAATATTCATACTTTGTTTCATTACTTATGTGCAGAAAATTTCCGTTAATTACACGATAATTGCACCTTCGTAAGTAACGTGAAATGTCGCCATTATTTCCGCCCGAATGCCTCAATTGTAATTATGTAAATATAAATATTTAAGTGGTTAGGCGGAAGAGCAGATCTTAGGGCCTGAGCTTCGCCAGAAATAAAGACATTATTATTATTATTATTATTATTATTATTATTATTATTATTATTATTATTATTATTTGTATTATTATGTGTTTAGTGATGGTCCTGCGTGTGAATATTTTGAAAATAATAAAAAAATATATTTTTGTCTTTAAGACAATTAAAAGCATATCTAAGGCGAAGTTAATACTGCATATAGCAAAGAACATTAACTAGTAATTTATGTAACAGAACTATGAACTGGGGCTTTTTCGTTTGAAGCGATTTTGCAACCAAGTCGTAGCGGATCAGAGCCGAGGTGGATATTCTGAGCTCTAAAAAGTCTCTCCGTGCTTGAGGTACAAAAAGTAATAAATTATGCAACTAGAGTAACTGATGATTACTAGTAATGTGAAGCTTTATTGCATAAGTAGATGTTTTGAAAACAAGCGAATTAGAAGCAAACTTTTTCAAATTTGTACGAATGCAATGAAGCAACGTTTAAAACGAATTGCATACGTTATTTTTTGAATACCAGCTTATAAATTTATAAGAGAATCAAATTAAATTTGTGGGAAAAATATTATGACCTCACGGGTATATACCTGTGCGTAAGTTGTCATCTGTGAGGTTTACCGCCACCACCTCACGGTTCGGTTGCTGCGATTGGCTGAATGTGTTACGACCAATTGTTCGTGCCATAAACATGAATACGTCTTAATCTGTGCCATAAAATGCCATTTTATGAAATATTTCTTGTAACGAGAAAGGTCGTCTTTATTGCTGGTATTAAAAAAAGAACTTTCGCACACTCACTTCAAGCATTAATTAACTTAGTTCGCGGTGTACTTACAATGAAGCAATACTTGAAACGCCATAGGAAAGTTTGTTAACGAATCAAAGAAGTGAGTGAAGTTGCTTACGCATCCATCGGAGGCGCAATCGCAGGAAGCGCACCAGATGTTGTAATTGACCCAGCGTTACTTACTCTTGGTTGTCTGGGTATTACTTTGAGGTGCCTACGACGAGAAATAACTGTACCTATCCTACGAATGTAAAGCATTTTTCATTATAAATGGTCCGTGGAATCCACCTTCAGACGTGAGTAACGCATTTATTGAACTTCTAAATTTCGTCTTATATAATATTTGATTTCAGGTTACATGATTTTTTTATTAACTTTCTCAAAGCATTTTGTCCTAATGGAATGTAATAAATTTGATATTATTTATGC